CAGGACATCAGTAGGTTAGACACAGCCCTGAAGAGTTATGGGGCAGAAAAGACCGACAGGGGTATAACTAGCTAATCACCAAATAGGCCCAGGGCAAGGCATTATGGGAAGGGAGATTTTCATCTTTTTACTGGTCTGCATTTCACCATTTGCTGGGCTGTTATGAGGATTTGTTTGTTGTTTTGTTTTGCTTTTTTCGAGACAGGGTTTCTCTGTATTGTTTTGGAGGCTGTCCTGGAACTCTCTCGGTAGACCAGGCTGGTCTCGAACTCAGAGATCCACCTGCCTCTGCCTCCCGCGTGCTGGGATTAAAGGCATGCGCCACCAACGCCTAGCTTGTTACAAGGATTAAACACAAAGATGTTTGTAAGATGTTTAGCTCACAGCTGAGTATATTCAGTAAACATTAGCTGCTGTGTTCCTGGACACAAAGCTCATTCCAGGAAAGAAAGAGATAATATTTCCACCATGGGGGGAGTAGAGGAGAATAAGTCAGAACCAATGCACACAGCTTTCATAAAAGAAAAAATAACGTATGTAAGGACAGAAAACAAAAGACAGATACATTTCTAAAGTCTGAGTACTGGAAAGATCAGAGCTCAGAAAAAAATGAAAGAAAATTCAACTCAGCTAGGAAAGTCCAACCATGGATCCAGAAAGGACCCGAGGCCAGGCTAAGCTTCCCAGTAGAGGTGGGATCAAGGTCAGGACAACCAGGAGGTAACCAGAGGAAGTTCTTACCTCCAGAGGAAGTTCTTACCTCTCGATGCTGCTGAAGGTATACTGAGTGCCCTGCTTGGTCTCAATTTCAAAGTCGAAGGAACGAGTGGTTGTGGTGCCTCGGGCAAAGTTGACAAAAGAGATCTCATCAAAGCGGATGTGCACAGGGGGCTTGTGCACATAGATGAAGCCCCGCTCCAGTGGGTACAGGAGTCCCGAGCTGGCCTTATAGGAGCAAGTGATACACTGGGCCCCGGAGTGCCTGATGGAGGGTTCGGGGAGTCTGGTCAGCACTGACCACAGCAGAGACACAGGGCACATGTGGTGGTAGCAACACAAACGCCCAGACCCTCAGAAGTCACTCCCACCACGTAGCTTTGACAGAGGTACTGACAATTATAACAAGTGCACCCACGCTTCTATTAGAGGGTACCCATCACAGCAAAGGGCTCATTACTAAGGCGACAGGACACTTCCCACCCACGCCACCCCCATCCTCAGCGGCAGGACTTCAACCCACATTCTCACCCTTGGAAGTTGCCCGGGACTGTGATTTTACGGTTTACAAGTGCTTTCATGACCCGGCTGACCATCTCGTAGAGGGATCCTGACATGTTCTTGGTAAGCCGCCCCTCAAAGCGTTTCTCCACTTCTTCCCTACGAACAAGGCGAGACAAGGTCCAGTGGCAGGCCTACTCCCTGCCTGGACAGCGGCAAGAAACAGGTCCAGGGAGATACTTACTCACTCATGTTGAGAGTCAAGGAAATATCCTCATCCTTGGAGAAGAGGAGGATCAGGAAGTGGTAACGGGTTTGGCCCTGCTTGATGGGGGGATCCAGGCTGATCTGGTAAGGACAGTGGGCAAGGCTGTTGAGACCCAGGTAACTATACAATACAGAATTCTATCTACTGAAGCACCCCAGCAGTCTTGCTCACCACAAAGAACATCTGTCTCTGATCCTTGTGGGGCAGCAGAAAGAGACGGAGAACTGTAGTATAGGGGATCTTGTAGTCAAAGGTCTTGCCATGCAGGTGTAGAAAGGTAGGGTAGATCCGGATATCGTAACGACCACGAGGAGTCAAACACTGCAGCTCCCGGAAGATGCAGATGGCATCTCCAGTGGCCTGGATCACATCTGCCTTTGACAAAACATTCTGGGCAAAGGCCTGCAACCACACATGGGTAATCACAGTGAACCTCGGCTTCCAGGCCAGCCAGCCAAAGCCTACTCAGCAATATCTAGCAGCCCAGCCAGCAGAAGCCTCACCTCTACAGGGTCCACACCATCTTCCTGGGTGGGAGGGACATAGAAGCGCACCTCCATGAGAGACACTTCAGCATCATCATTCTGGTGGAATTCCAGGGTCACCTCATTCTTGCCTGTTGTACACTGGGACACATTGCTTAGGGGTATCTCAAAGACTGGCTGATCACCAATGTCAAAAGAAAGCAGCTGTCCTGTGAGGAAAGGGTTATTCAAGCCACAAACTCCTCCCTGAGTCTGCAGGAGCATTCCCACCAGCCCCAAGTTCCAGGAGGAGGGAGGACCACAGGAACTTTGTTCACACTGTACCACGACCAGGCACAGTGCCTGATACATGCTAAACACACAAACTGGGAATCAGAAACTAGAGCAGAGTTAAGGAAGGTACCATTTGAAGACCTTCATCCCACCTTCTCCCCAAACCTCAATCTTCCTCACTCACCACCAAACTTCACTGTCCCCCAGTTCCAGCCCTTCACACACAGATCCTTCTCCATTAGCTCAAGGCGATAGTGAGTTTTGAAGAAATCAGAGAGTTTCTCAAACTCCTGTAAATTGTAAGGACAACACCAGTAAACCCTCTAGACCTTAATACAACTTAAAAGTCCTATTTTCTAGTTCAGAAAAAAGTTCAGCAATGTATCCTTTATCAGAAACCATAGTTAACTAAGCATGTCAATTCAAAAACTGTTTAAAAACAATTTTACTTTGCTACCAGAGGCTGTTTCTGGGACCCAGATGCCCTCAGCCACACTCTCACAGATGTCCTTAGTCTTTTTTGTTTGTTTTTGGAGGCAGGGCTTCTCTGTGTAACAGCCCTGGCTATCTTAGAACTTGCTTTTTAGATCAGGCAGGCCTTGAACTCACAGAGATCTGCCTCCAGCGTGCTGAGATTAAAGCATGAGCTACCACTGCCTGGCTACTTAAATCGGTGCTAGTGACATGATGACTTTGTGGTTAAAAGTTCTTGTTTTCTGCCAGTGTTGGTGGCACGTGCCTTTAATCCCAGCACTCGGGAGGCAGAGGCAAGCGGATCTCTGTGAGTTCGAGGCCAGCCTGGTCTACAGAGAAAGTTTCAGGACAGCCTCCAAAACAATACAGAGAAACCCCCGTCTCAAAAAAAACAAAAAACAAAATAAATAAATAAAACTATCTTTTCATACCATCACCCCCCAAAAAAAAACCCAGGCTAGGAGAGGAGTAAAGGAACTTCCATTCCCAGATGTATGAATCACCTTGCTGACTTTTTAAACTCTGTGTAGGTGCTCTTTTGATGAAACTGGATATTAAAACCAAGTAACTCAAACAGTTTGAAATGGAAAAACAAAATCCCAGAGCTAAGATTCTGAAGCAAGTTAAGATTCTGAACTAGGACAGAAGGAGCAAGTAGAAACCACTATCTAAAATAAGATGTGAAAAAACTTGGAGTACGGGTACAAAGAAATTCACAAGACATGTGCACTGAAAACAGTAGTTTTTTGTTTAACAGTCTCCAGTAGCCCTGCTCTGAGGAGTCCAAACAAGCAATGACATGATTATCAGAACACCAACTGTCTGTAGAAGATTAAAAATAAACAAGGCAGGGCAGTTACAAAAGGAGAGAGTCATGGCAACAAGATCTCTCACCGATTCTCGGAAGCCATCATACTTGTAGACATGGCCATTCTTTGTGAGCAGTTTAAGTCCGTGGCCCAGCGCTACCCGGCGCCAGATGCCTTCTGTCAACTCCCCAGCCTGGATATTGTCCACTTTGCCGGTCTTGCTGTTCTTAAAGATGATGCCCTGGCGACTCAATCGTAGCCTCCCATCATTCTGCCCAAAATACAGAGCCAGATTCAGAACAGGTCACTGAGTAGCAGACTCACTTTACCCCTTGCCTGTGTGGTGCTGTTGCGGGACAGCCAGATTATCAATGGGAAAGCAACAGGTCAAGCAGTGAGATCAAGTCAAAAGACACAAGGGGCCTGCAAGCGTGGCTCTGGTATCCAGACCCTGTAAGGGCCCCCGTTTCCTGGTTTTTAACACTGGGGTTTAGGATAGATATGCACGTGCAACCTCTTCAAACTCAAGATCACAACTCTTGAGACTCTGCCGCTACTTTTGCTTGGGGAAACACTGGAAACCCTATTTCCAGAACAGCAGCCAGGGTTAAGCTTTTCTTAATGGACACGAACTCTTCCCAATTTCTGCCTTTATTAAAAGACCAAGCCATTCTCACCATGGACCCTTTCACCTCCTGGAAGATGTCGTTGAACTCCAGTGTCTCTGCCATATTCACCTGTCCTGGTGGCCTGAGCACAGAGCCCTAGGCTGCACCAGAAGAGAACGAACCACCCTTTTTTGGGAGCTGGGTCCCAATTCCTGGTGAGGTGTGTAGATGTTCAGCTGGGTGGGAATCTGAATTCGGGAAGGAGATTGATAAAACAAGTAAAGACGCCACCTTACTCCGCTCACCCATGGATAGCTGTGCCTGGACTGGATTGTCTCAAGCTCTCCACTGCTTTGAGGACCTTACAGACCCAGCTCTGCAGCGTTCCTGAGGCCAAGGCCCAGGACCCTAGATGCAGAACCAGGCCTGTAGCGGCGCTTACACCCTAACCCGACACCCTCTCGGGACGTTCCATCTACAGCCAAAGGCAACAATCGGCGGAACCCCGGGACCAGCTCAGAGAGCGCACCTCAACTCGCTGAGGGTAGTGTCGCGATCCCAGCGATCCCACCACCCCGAGCCCCCCCCCCCGCCCGACCCACGTTTCTCCCCCTCCTTTTAATATGGATTCGCCCAGTGCCGGCGAATTTGAACGCGGAACGATCCATCTCGAGCGTCCCGCGGGGGAGCGGGGCCCATGCACACCCGAGACCCGGGATCGCGACCACCCACCTCTTCAAGCTGCAACCTCGCGACGGCACAGCGCGGGCGGTGGGCGCAGGGGGACGCGGGGGAGGAGGTAGGGATGCGGGGGAGGGGACGCCGGGGAAGCTTTTCCCGCGTGCGCGGTCCCGCGTCCCGCCACCGGAAGTCGCGCACAGACCATAGAGAGGAAGGCCTGGCTAGAAAGACACCAGCCGGGCCGACCAACGGGACCGTGGCCTAGAGCGTCGGTACCTTGGGCTAGGGAAGCGAGGGTCTTGCTGTGGAATCCCGTGCGGCTGGATTCTTGACTAGGAGCTCGCTTGAGAAAGTTACAAGCCGCTCTAAAAAGCGTAGATTCTGAAGAGAAACTATGAAGTTTTATCAGGCTTTCAGGTTTGTGCGTTGGAATCCTTCATTACCCTCTCTGCTGTGAAACAGTCTGGGAAGGAGTCTTTTGGAACAAGAAAAATACAGAGCTATGGCCAAAATGACGCCCCCACTAGCTGCAAAGGGAATGCGGGTGTCGGTGACTGTGCATGCTTTCCAGCTGTATCCTGGCAAGTGGATCGGGCCCTTTCTGAAATGAGTTCACCTTCCACCCCCAACATCCCATCCATATCCCTCATTTGTGGGTTCTCGGGAAGAGCCTGGCAGATGGCCGCATTAACTTCAAGTGCTGGTGTCAGATTTACCTTTGAGCTAGAACTTACTTGAAACCACATCAGCCTGAGTTGGCAGAAGCCGGATGCCCTCACATAGCACCAGCTTCCATCCTGCAAACTCTGAAGCCGGGTCTGAAAGAGATGCTTGAGTTTATTCTCGCCCTTCCTCATTTTACAGATGAGAAAAGTGAAACACACAAAAGATTCGCTCAGGGTGTCGGTGAATTGGCATCAAAGCTAGAGCCTAGAATTCAGATTCCGTAACATCAGCCTTTTATCATAATCATGAGGGCCCAGCCTTTAGAGTAATTGCTAGCATGTGTCCTGCATAAAGACAGGATATTTAAACTCATTCCTGACCATCACGACACTGGTTTGCTAACTCAATCCCGGCACATGAGATAGTCAAAATACATTCTTGCCATCTAGAATTCGTGGCTTTAACCACTCGGTTAAACACTGCTATTGCTAGCACTACTTAGCTAAGTCAAACTGTGCTTAAGACATGTAATGAGAGCCTATTGTTAATGCAGCACATTTCTAGGATTTGAGGAAACCGTTGAAGATGGTTGAAACAGTTCCAGCCTTTCAGAAGCATATACCCTAACCAAAGATTTGAATAACCTGGGGGTAGAAAAGAAAATTCAGTAATTTCTATACAACAAGGATGGTTTCAGCCACTGCGGCCAACTGCAGTTAGAAGTAAGTGAATTTCCACTTTGCAGTGGTGCAAACCTGTAATCGAAACACTCGGGGAGACTGAGGCAGGAGGACTGTGAGTTTGAGGCGTAACAACATAGCAAGTTTGAGAGCCAGGGAACACAATGAGATTCTGGAGGACAGAGAGGAGGGGATGGTAGGAAATACGTGAGTCTTCCTCCCAGGAGACACAGGAACCCTTTCTGGTGCTGTTAGGTGGAAATCAGCAGACGCAGGCTCAGGTGGATCAGCTAACTCAGGAATGGGCCCCTACAAGGGGTTTTGGAGAATACGACGCAGCTGATGAGCTGTGGTAGACACACAGGCATAAGAGAACAGAATAGAAACAGTAGACAGAGTGCAGATAAAGCATGAGTCCCAGAGGGCCCTCGCCAGCTGCATCCCAGGCAATCTGGAGCCCGCATTGGAGACCCCACCCCTGCTGTGACATCACAGGGGAGTGGAGTGAAGACGAATAAAAAGGTGGTCCGCCGCCCTGGCCCTAGACTGTTGGCAGCCAGAGTATCAAGAGGAGAGAGACTAGGCACTGACTACAATTGCCTGGCTTACAGGATCTGGCTGTATTCCTCAGGTCCCACTAAGTGGCCAGTTCAGGCCTTGATCTCTTTCTCCCTGCCCTGAGGTCATCTCCTTGGGCTGCCATCTACCGCCCTTCTGAGTGGCTGGGAGCACCCTCTCAGTATGAACTGTATATCAGACTTCTTCACCTACGAGACTACCAAGTCTGTGGTTGTGAAGAGCTGGACCATTGGGATCATCAACCGAGCTGTCCAGCTGCTGATCATCTCCTACTTTGTGGGGTGAGTCCATGGCCCTTCAGTCCCGGGACGGGAGGGCTACCTGATGTCCTTCTCTCCCTCTCCCAAGACTGCTCTGCAGCTTCCAGAGCTTCTCTGAGAAACACTTTGATCTGGGAGAGCCATGTCCTCGGGATTGGCCTCTGCCACTCCCAATCAGTCCCATCCTCAGGTGGATTATTTTACCCAGTAACTCTCCCAGGGCTGGAAAATGATTCTAGACACATGCTCTAAGAATAGGTGCATTCCCTGGGCAGGAGAGGACCCATATGGTCCTTCCCAAACAGACAAAAAAAAAAGGCAAACCCCTCCCCACATGTTTCCATTCCCCTCAATCGAGTCTGAGATACAGGAGCACAGGAAGGAGGGAGGCACTGAAACCAGGAAGATGGGTTGATGTGTGGAAGAGGAAGTGGCTGGGGAGGGAAAGAGAACACTGGGTTTCACTTAGAGTTAGGAATTGTTCCTGCCGCGGGCTAGATGGTGAGAGGTTAAGAAACCAAGACACCCTTGTTCTTGGAGAGTAGGACAAAGGACGGACGTGCCCCTCAAGGTAGAGCGAGGCATAGGTATAGAGACATCCAAGGAAAGAGTTGCCAAACAGAAAAGTTCCTTCTCTGATTTAGTGTGGGACTCTTCCCCCCCAAGAATGTAGAAATGCTACCCATTGTTAAAAGTCATAAATTTGTCCCTCTACCTGACTCTGTGCTGGAAGACTCATGCTAGGGGCCAGCACACACACACACACACACACACACACACACACACACACACACACAAAGGGACTTGAGCAAACAATGGCTAGGAGGAAAACACAGGTCTGTCCTTCTTGTGGTCATTTCTACACACTGGTTGGCACCAGGAAATGCAGGCAGAAACCTCAAGGGTTTTCTTTTCTGGCTTTCGGGTCTGTGGTCGCTTGCTGTTCCTTGAGACAATGAGTCTGTTTATGAAAGACAGCAAGCCACTGACTAGGTCATGAGTTAATTCAGGCAAATCAAAGAATACATCCTGTGTGCCTGTGGGCTGGAGCTGAAAGGTTGCAGTAATGTGGAGAGCTTGGTGTGTGGACAGTGGGCAGATGTGGTTTTTTAAAGTGATTTTTGCTTCATGGCTTTTATGAACGCCAGTAGACTTCGGCATTCCAGTGTATAACGAGGCTATATAGCCTTGTGAAGACATCAGAAGGAATTCAAGCTATGAAGTAGAATTAAATGGCCTTGAAACTACTTTCCTGTGTTGTTTTGTGAGAGATGTTTAGAAATGTTCCATATCCCTGTCTCCAAAGTTTGGCTCAAAATTGGTTCCTTTTTGGTTGACTGGTTTTTTTGTTGTTGTTTTTTTTCTTTAAGACAGTATCCCAGACTGTCCTTGAACTTGCTACGTAGGTGAAAATGACCTTGGATTCTTAATCCTCCTAGTGCTGGGATTACAGGTGTGGGCCGCCACATTGAGTTTGTGTGATGCTGGCACGTTGAACCCAAGGCTTTGTGCATATTAGGTAGGCACTGTACCAATTGAGCTACATCCTCAGCCTTAGAGTTAGTTCTTAAGCCTTCTGTGTTCACATATATATTCAGTGCCTTAACTGCTGATCGTCACAGGATGGAGTATTGGTCCAAATGAGTACAAAAGCTGTTTCAGCACATTCCTAACCTGGCCTGGTTCTCCTGGCTCCAGGCAGGACATTGATGGAAGACAGAGACAGCCGTCTCCTGGACTAGACCCCTTAACCCTACACTGCCCTTGACTGCCCCTCATCAGAATCAGATTGAATCCTCCAGTGCTGGGGGCTTGCGTCCAGTCTGCTCAAGGGAGCATCAGAGGCTCTTTGGAGTCTTCATATGCAACCCCATCCATCTACCAGCCTGACAGCTCCCCATGGAACAGTGCCTTGCAGTTACATCAGCATACTCAGCAACCCAGCCCCCTGGCCCAGGCTGTTTATAGGAGCCCAACACCACGTGACTTCATGAATCCATTGTGATCAATTTAACAAAAGTGCATCAAGCATCTCTTCATGCCAGGCATTGTGCACTGAGGGTAGAGCAGTGGACAAGAGCAGACAGGGTCTTTATCCTATGAGCATCACACCAGAGAATGTGGCAGGAAGTGGATATTAGCCCAGTGATCCCCACAAACAAATGCTACTTTAACGGTGTCTAAAATGTGCACAACACTAAAAGTGCTGCCACTGTAGAGGCACTTGGCTACATCTAGAAACCGAGGGGAGTTTTCTGGAAGTGCCAAATCCAACCCAGGTTCTAAAGGATGAGTTGAAGCAACCAGATGAGAAAAAGGAAGGACGAAGGCCCAAGGCAGAGAACCCTCCTCTGTGGAGGGAAAGAGCTTGATCTGGGGAAAGGAGAAAAGAAGTTTGTTCGAGGAGAGGCTAGAGTGTGGAAGGACCCCTAGAAGCAGAGGTCAGACCTGGCATCCCACCAGAGCCTTTGTTTTCCCAGGAGAGTAAAGAATGTGGCAGAAGTTACCGACACTGCTCACCTGCTCTGTGTGGCTGGGACTAAGGAAGAGCCCTGTGATGAGATCTGAGCTGCCTGATGTGTCCAAGGGTTAAAGGGAGTAGAAGTGAATGTGGGGAAACCTAAAGGAGAGAGATAACACTACCTAGACTCAATAGAAAGGGTTTTAATTTTTTTTCATTTATGTTACTCGTTTTGTCGGTTAGTGGAGCATGGGTATGAGTACAGGCAAGAGAACAATGGGGTTGGGGGTGGGGCATCAGTTCTCTCCTTCCACCAGTGAGCTCCAAAGACAAAACTCAGGTCCTCAGGCTTGACAACAAGTACTTTTACCCACTGAACCAACCTGCCTCTGTCCTTTGAAAGGATACTTGATGAATGCTGTGGTGTTGGCACTTACGTGGTACCTGAATCTTTTCCTTGTTATTTTCTGCCAGGGAGACAGTGTCTGATTTCCCCGCCCACAAGACAGGACACACCGCTTCAGCTAGGAAGTGTGTAACGTGAACCAAGTTCTCATCTTATCCACACACAGCAACACACAACCAAACCATCCAGTCTCCAACCTCAGCTACCTGCTGTGCTTTTCACCAGTTCACGAGATGCCTTCACCCACCCTAGGTGTACCAGAAGCTGGGGATACCATGCTTGGGACCCCCAGGAAGCACCCCCAGTTCCTTGTCAGCACACTAAGTGACACGCTGGGAGGATTAGTTGGGATCCCTCATCCTCTAGGTACACCCATTGTTGCCTGCTTTCTCCCTACACCACAGCTTCAGGACGAAGGGACTACATGGTGTGACAGCCCTGCTTTGACACCACCTTGACACAGACCTGTTCGCCTCAGTCCCAAGGTCTAGGAAATGGGTGCAAGAGTGCCTCCTGTCAGGGTGTTCTGGGATGAGAGATGCTAAGTGCTTCTCCCGAGATGGTGACTCAGTAGTGTTAAGCTATATGTGGTGGTTATTGTTGTTCCTAGACTCCCCGCTGTGCCTCGCTCTTTTCCTCTGCCCTGCTCACACCTTCCTCAAAAGACCCCCCTCCTCTGACACACACGACTGCACGCATTTCACGCTCACTCCCCAGCCTCCTCCTCCTCCACTCCTGGGGGTAGACGGGAGGGTGCTGGGATGCTGCTTGGGCCTCTTTCCTGCACATCCCACCTGCCAAGGAGCTGCCACCGCCTTCCGCTCTATAAATAATAAACCAGAAATGCAAGGGGAAGAAAAAAGAAGTCAGAGCAGCAGAGTAAATGCCAAGAATCAGAGGCTTAGTCCTGCTGCATCTCCTAAGCCCTGGCCTCTAGAGACAGCCTCAGCCCCTCTGTTCTGGAAATGAAGCAACCCCTCACCTCCCATTGCTAGCTACCCTGATGACGTTCTCAGCCCCATGGGGCCACTGAAATTCTTCCATTTGTTAACTCAGAGAGAATTCTAAAGTGGCCTCTCCTCCCTACTGGGCATACAGGAGTCTTAAAGAAAGGAGGAGGAAGAGAGGCGACTGGTTAATTGTTTCTCCACCTCAAGCCCCTTCCCCCTGAAACCTTCCTGAGTTAGGGGATGCTTTTCTGTCAGTGAAGCAGGGGGCTGACCTGGGATGTAGCTAGAGACCCTACAGTGGTGTGGCTGGGAGTGGTCCAGAGCAGACTGCTGTGTGGAGCCCACTTGGAGCCCACTTCCCAGCTACGTTACTTTGGGCAAGTCAGCACACCCTTTTGTTTCCCTGATCATGGCACAATGGTCATGATGCAGCTGTCTCACAAAGGCTTTATGGTCTGGGTCAACGTAGTGTCATATCTTGGTGTATGAAAGACACTCTGAATGCTCTTTGCATTTACAAGCCTGCCTTCACGTTAAGGACAGGGTACTGACCTCAAAGAACCGTTTCCTTAGCTCAACACCAAGAAGCATGACAGTCCTGTGACAAGGCACCCTGGAGGTCCAGAAATCTGTTTGGGCTGTGGCTTACTCTCTGATGAGTGGTCAGCAGCAGCCACCATCTTAGCTGAACTAGAATCAGGCCCCCAGACCTCATTCCTCAGCATTCCAGAGGGCATAAGGCCATGAGCTAATGGTGCTCTTTCGGATCACTTCCTTGGGTTCTGTAACAAGATGCTGCCTTCATCTCTGTTGGAACGTAACACAGTGAATGAGACCTTAATGAAATTCCTCCCCTTCAAAAAAGAAAGAAAGAAAGAAAGAAACTATTGCAAGAGCGGTAAAGCAAACAGCACTGCAGACTTCTATAAAGGCGTGGTGCTCAGAGGACCATTTTACAAGGATGTGGATAATGCTTAATGGTGCATTAATCAACTTACCGGCTGCTACAAGGCAGCCATAGTAAAGCAGGTAACAGGTTCAGAGCCATTTGGCAGAGCTGCGACTCCACCCTCTTTCTCTCAGGCAAGAAAGCATTCAGAATCCAAGTGGATGGTGCTACAAAAAGAAGCAGGTAAATACAAGAGATGGTTATGCTAATTCATTTAATAGACTCATTCTATAATGTATATATGCACCAAAACATTCACAGTGTGCCCCTTAGCTACAGACAATGATTGCTTGCCAATTAAAAGTTAAAACCATGGCGGGGCTGAATGGGTACAGTGCTTGCCTTGCAAGCACAAGGACTTAAGTTCAATCCCCACAACTTGTGTGAAAAAGACCTGGCATTGTGGCACATGCTTCTAATCCCAGTGCTGAAGAAATGGAGACTGGTATTTGTTGGCCAGTCAGTCTAGCTCAGTTGGAGAGTGCCAGGTAAAAGTGAGAAATATATGGATGGATGGATGGATGGATGGATGGATGGATGGATGGATGGATGGATGGATGGATTGACGGACGGATGGATAGATGATACATAGATGAGAGACCCTGTCACAGATAGATAATAGATATATAGATAGGTAGGAGATAGGTAGGTAGGTAGATAGATAGATAGATAGACAGACAGACAATAGACGAGTAAGAAAGCCTTTGTGTACCTTTGTGTAAAGCTACCTTCCACCACGCCTGAAAACCTGTGTTCAATCCCCAAGACCCACAGAATAGAAGAAAAGAACTGGATCCCATAAGTTACCCTCTGACCTCGCCATGTATACCATGGCGTACACATACCAACTCCCACAGAATTAACTAAAAAGTAGCTAACTTTTGAGGAATTACATACACAGCACAACACACACACACACACACACACACACACACACACACACACACACACACACACACACGGGGGGGGGAGAGCTGTAAAAGTAAAGGGAGAAGAACTTGAGTAAGTAAAGCCCCTCTGTGGGGTGGTACTGAACCACGAAGAGGCCTCCGGAAGATCAGCCTGTGCTTGCTGTAAGCGAGACTGTGTCTATCCTACAAGTGACTCTACCTCCCTTATCCCCTTAGTGACCTGAAAGCTGCTTCCTTCTGAACCTTCTAACAGTATAGGGACCTCAAAGTTCAAACAGTCCACCATCCACCCAAGAGAAATACCTCCTCAGCATACGGAACACGAAAGAGCAAGCTCCCCAGTCTTCCCAGCCACGTGCTGTCCATCACCTTCTGAAGCAGCAGTTCATGGCCAACTCAGTGACAGGAGTTCCTGGGCGGGACACTCACTGCCTCCTCTTAAGGGCCTGATGCCTGTCCAACCCAAGTCCTGCCTCTGCAGCTGCCCTGCCAGAGGTGCCCACAGCAAGGTATTTCCTGCGCTAAACTGTCCCAGACTCCTTCTGTCATCTTCTCCCGATGCAGGTTCCCAACCTTTGGTAGAGGCAGCAAATGACATTATCCCAGTCTTTCCAAAGAATGCTGTTCGATTCTGCCAACTGTCAGTTCTCTCTCCCAAACTGGCTTCTGCGATCCAGTAAGCTGAGCCAGTGCTGGAGTGTACCTCAGTGCTGGAGTGTACCTCAGTGCTGGAGTGTACCTCAGTGCTGGAGTGTACCTCAGTGCTGGAGTGTACCTCAGTGCTGGAGTGTACCTCAGTGCTGGAGTGTACCTCAGTGCTGGAGTGTACCTCAGTGCTGGAGTGTACCTCAGTGCTGGAGTGTACCTCAGTGCTGGAGTGTACCTCAGTGCTGGAGTGTACCTCAGTGCTGGAGTGTACCTCAGTGCTGGAGTGTACCTCAGTGCTGGAGTGTACCTCAGTGCTGGAGTGTACCTCAGTGCTGGAGTGTACCTCAGTGCTGGAGTGTACCTCAGTGCTGGAGTGTACCTCAGTGCTGGAGTGTACCTCAGTGCTGGAGTGTACCTCAGTGCTGGAGTGTACCTCAGTGCTGGAGTGTACCTCAGTGCTGGAGTGTACCTCAGTGCTGGAGTGTACCTCAGTGCTGGAGTGTACCTCAGTGCTGGAGTGCCATCCTCAGCACTGCAATACAGTAGCCATAGTGTGGTGATGACAATGATAAGATTAACAAAATGCAGCGTATTTGTTGTATAGAGTGTGCACATTCCCCCAAACCCATCTGGTGGATTTCCTCACCTACAGAATAATGACAGTGGCTGCATTGGCCTTCTAGTGTGCCACCAGGCCAGCTACAGGTATAGGGACTGAGTGTCTTGACCCCTGAGGGCTGTGATGGCTTTTTCACACAGGAGGCAGTCCTTTACAGACGAGCAGAGTCAGCAGTCCAAGGCTCTCCCTGCTGCCCGGGATGTCTAGGAGGGTCTGTAAAAGCGGGTGGGAGTGGAAGAAAGGGATTCTTGCCTTACTTAGCTGCTTGCTGACACAATGGCAACACTGTGGGGGAGACAGGTAATGACCACTAGGTGGAAGCACAGTGCAAGGAATAAGATCAGCATCCCGCCTTCCCAGCAGTGTTGGCCTCCCAGGCAGAGGCACAACCACTGCCCACGCCCACTTCCTCCTAATTTCCCTGCTGACCCTTGGCCGGATGAAAACTGCCAAGCAGCCTGCTCCAAGGACCTTTATCCGTTTCTTTCTTGAATGTCTGCTGTCTTCCTGGCACACAGGGCACAGCCGTGAATAAAGCTTGGGACACACAGCGTCTGCAGCCCGAGACCTTCTGTCTCTTCTCTCTCCATGGCGCCTGCCAGAGGGGGGACGTTGTTATCAGCAGTAGTTACTTTTGGCCCACAAAGGGGTGGAAATTCCATCTTAGGAGTAAAATAAAGAAAAACTCGATGTTTTGTATGTCACAAGTAGGCTGGGACTGTAGCTCAATATTGATAGAGCACTTTCCTAGAAATCTAGAGTCCCCGGTGCAATCTTTTAATAAACGATGCCAGGCATGGCAGTGTACACTGGTAAGCCAGTGCCGGTGTGTGTAGATGGGTGGATAGAGGGCTCACTGGCCAGCCAGTCTAGCCAGCCACCGAGTACCAGGTTCAATAAGACCTTGTTTCAAAAGAGATAAGGTGGACAGTGATAGAGGTGATGCTGGAATGTCTATCTCAGTATCTGATGTCATAGTGGCACACACCTTTAATCCTGGCACTTCAGAGACAGAGACAGGTGCACCTCTGTGAGTTCAAGACCAGCCTGGTCTACAGAATGAGTTCTAGTCCAGCCAGGGCTACACAGTAAGACTCTGCTTCAGAAAGAATAAAACCAATATCAACTTATGGCCTCCAAACATGTACACCACATGGCACATGCTGGAATGTTAAGTTTTCATAGGAAGATAATTAGAAGAAGAAGCTCAAAAGTGCTCCCCAAAGGTGGCTACAAAGACTCACTGAACTAACCCAGGACTCATCCTGGTTTCTACCCGCAACATATGTTCCTACCAAGTACACCCATATGACTCTAATGTTGGCAGGAGGGAGAGTTTTCCTAGCCCCTGTCTTGTGAGCCTGTGGACCCTTTCTCTGTCCCTGCAGGTGGGTTTTCTTGCACGAGAAGGCCTACCAAGTGCGGGACACAGCCATTGAGTCCTCAGTAGTAACAAAGGTGAAAGGCTTCGGACGCTATGCCAACAGAGTCATGGACGTGTCAGATTATGTGACCCCACCCCAGGTATGGAGCCCTGCCCTAGGGACATGTGCATGCCTGCATCTGGGGAGAGTGGGGACAGAGGCGCAGGCATGCTGAACCAGCCACTGCAGTACTGTTGGGGGAACAAGAACCTGTCCTCCAAAGTGCAGATCCATAAGGAAGCTGGGCTCCCCCGCCCCCGACTCTGTCATGCCTGCGCTTTCGTGGAGAGCGAGAGGGGCCACCAGGTGGTTAGAAAAGTCGGTTTGAATGCCAGCCGCGCACCTCGCTAGCCCTGCCACCTTGGCCAAATCACAGGCAGACTGGGGCTTCCTCTTCTGTAGGGCAGAGATCCCTTCTTGGTCTGCAGATTGGGATGGGGCTTTTTTTTTTTTCCCCTCTCCCTTCTTCTCCCAAGGGCACCTCTGTCTTCGTCATCATCACCAAGATGATCGTTACTGAAAATCAAATGCAAGGATTCTGTCCAGAGGTGAGTGGAGCAGATCACGGAAGCGTATTGGTAGGAGCAGGGTATGTGGTGTGACTAGAGGCCCATAGTCTAGCCTTGGAGCTGTGACTGGACCTGCCACCCACCGGAAGCCACAGCCACAGGGACTTGTGGGAGGCAATGGGGACTAATGGGTTGACCAGGGCCGAGGGAAAGCCCTTCATACACCTGTGACCCTGTCCCCCACAGAATGAGGAGAAGTACCGCTGTGAGTCTGACAGCCAGTGTGGGCCTGAGCGCTTCCCGGGTGGGGGTGAGTGCAGCCCTTTCCTCCACCCCACCCCCAACTCCAAGCCTTCATGGGACTCTAAAAGGCAGCGAATTCTCTACGGGGGTAGTCTATTTCAGGAAAGGGGGCCATCCTATTCTATGGGATTCTGCCAGGGTTACAAGAGGCTTGCTGGGTGTCAGAAGCAGCCAGAGCTCTGGAGGTGCATGGTTCCTGCCCCAAGAGTTCACTCTAGGTATTGCAGTGGTAGAGTAGCAAGTGGCATTAGGAAGCATAAAGGACAGCCCCAGGGGAGGGAACAAGGGTGGTCCTGAGAGGTGGTGGCTCCAAAGCCCTCCTGGAGGTGGCCTGAAGATGAGGAAGATTTAGCAAGATGGAGGGAGCTTTGTGAAGGGCATTCTAGGCAGAAGGGATATCTCAGCCTAAGAGGCGAGGAGGAAGAGTCCTGGGGCGCTCAGGACACATGCAGCGGATTCGCTTGCCTTGCTCACCTGCCAGGGGCCCTGGTGAGGAGGGGGTTGCAGTGGCAAGGGGCAGGATGCCACCCGGTCATGCGGCTCCACCCTCCAGGGATCCTCACTGGCCGCTGTGTGAACTACAGCTCTGTCCTCCGGACCTGTGAGATCCAGGGCTGGTGCCCCACCGAAGTGGACACCGTGGAGATGTAAGGCTCTGAGCATCCCCAAGCGCAGGGGGGGCTTTGTGTGTCCCCAACTCAGGTTCTTTCTTGGAGTGGGAATGTGATCACAAGGCGTCATCCCCCCTGCCCTGCCTCTGCCTCTCACCCTTGCTCCCAAAGGCCGTTGGTCTACAAGATGTCCCCTTTGAAGAGGCACCCACAAAGAAATATTCCTGAGGAAAGCTCCATCTCCCCTCCTCTGGAGAGCTGAATCACCATTTTCACCTGCAGGCCCATCATGATGGAAGCTGAGAACTTCACTATTTTCATCAAGAACAGCATCCGTTTCCCTCTCTTCAACTTCGAGAAGTGAGTCCTCCATTTTTCCCTCACTCAGCCTGCCATAAAGGTCCCCACATTCTCTCCATCTACTCATCTGTCTGGAGCTCCTGTCCCAAACATCATGTAGCCAATTTCCTGCCTTGGAGCCCTGAACCCAACCAAATAGGAGTTCTGCTTGGAGCTGGGAAGACAACATAGCCTGGCTGTGGACACTGAGGCCACCTGCAGTTGGAGTCTGAAGTGTTCGTCGCTTTTATTCTTCCCACCTACAGCCCTCACGTGGCAGGTTTTGTTGTTGTAGTTTCTTGTCTTAGTTGCCCTCTCCACGTTGACTCGTGCATTCAGCAGCTATCTAGTGGCATGTGGAGAGCATCTGCCAGGCACCATGGAGATGCACACAGCAATTAGGAGAGACTGGTCACCAGGAGCCCAGCCTGGTAGCTTGTAGACACTGGCCACAGACACTCATAGCCCTACCATGAGATGGGACGCGATGAGGGTTACGAAAGCGTGAGGGAAAGAGGGGAGGTGCATGGGCAGTGACTGAGACATGGTGCAAGTAGATGTGCCCACCTGGGTGTGGAGGGCCAGAAGCATCCAGAAGACTGGAGAACACTTAGGCATAACTATCTTTCCTTTCGTTCTGGGCCTCATCTCTCTCCTCTTTCCTCCCCAGGGGAAACCTTCTGCCCAACTTGACAGCCAAGGACATAAAGACATGCCGCTTCCACCCTGAAAAGGCCCCGTTTTGCCCCATCTTGAGGGTAGGGGATGTGGTTAAGTTTGCCGGGCAAGATTTTGCCAAGCTGGCCCGCACGGTGAGAACCTGTCTCTTCTCCATGATCCCCTACACCTACCTGGAAAGCTCAGCCCCCCCACCCCCATGGACTTCAGGGATAACCACTGGGATGCTGGGCAGGAGCCACAGCAAGACAGTGCCACCTGGTGGGAGCATCCGAGACCTGCAGATCCCTGAATCCATTCCTCCCCCGAAACCCAGCCACCTCTCCCCCAGAAACCCTGCCTCTACTTCCCCAAGCCTCAGTTTCCCATTCCTATCATCCCACCTCACCTCAGAAGAGGCCTTTGGTCTCATAAGCGCCACACCACAGGAAAGCGATCTGCAGCTGCGTCCTCTTTCCTGTGTTGTGGCTCAGGGACTTCGGGGTTCCAGGTTCCTCCCCTAAGGACTCTCCCCTCCCTACCAGCGACTCTCTCTCCTCCCTGCTGCCACCTCCCATGTAGAGAAGGGAATGAAATCACTATCACAAATCCTCAGCCTGACTGAGCACAGGGGAGAGCTCATTATCTGGACCTTTCTTCAGGGTGGAGTTCTAGGCATTAAGATTGGCTGGGTATGTGATCTGGACAAGGCCTGGGACCAGTGTATCCCCAAATATTCCTTCACTCGACTGGATGGAGTTTCTGAGAAAAGCAGCGTTTCCCCTGGCTACAACTTCAGGTAAACCAACCTCTCTGTCTGAGCAGAGGCACAGCTCACAGGCAGCTCCAAAGATGCCATGGCAAGCAGAAATGCACATTTGGAAGGGAATTCCTCATGTCTCTCTTCTGGTCCCCATCGGGTTCAAGCTTAGGGAGGACTTCTGAGAGTTGGCCATCCCTGACTGGTGAATTGTGCTGTGAGGTGTGAATTCCAGGCAGGAAAAAAGGATCCAACCACCTTGGATCTGCTGAGGACAGAAGTTACCCCAGATGGCCCAGGTCTCCTGAAATACTCTATCCATGAAGCTGTAATGTGCCTCATTCATGCCCAGATAGCTCCATTCCCTGCCCTGTGCCTGACTTTTCTAAGGCTCTTACTCCCCACAAAGTAAGTACAATATCTGGCATTGTTTCTTTTTCCAAAATGGTAAATTGGCATTTCTTTCTGAAACCCAGAAATCCTGTGATTCATGGGCAGCAACTGTAATGATCAGAGTTCTTTCATGCTTTTCTGGGGAAAACGGTTTTTAAATATCATCTAGTTGATATTCCAAATAGCAAAAGGAAAAGTGAGGAAGCACAGGGTGGTCTGTTTGGAATAGCGGGGGCCTTGACCAAGTCCTTAACCTCCTCCCTGTGATGTCCCCTTCTGTGAAATGCTGGTAGCATGCTAGTGGACTGTTTACCTGAGGGGCCTGCTGGCCAGTACATGGATTGCTTTGGCTTTCAGTTTTGGTCTCCCGCCCTCCCTCCCTCCCTCCCTCCTTCTCTCTCTCTCTCTCTCTCTCTCTCTCTCTCTCTCTCTCTCTCTCTCTCTCTCTCTCTCTCTCTCTCGTGTGTGTGTGTGTGTGTGTGTGTTTGTGTGTGTGTGTGTGTGCGCGCATGTACAGAGTTCAGAGAACAAACTTTGTTCTTTGTCTTGTTTGAGGCAGGGTCCCGCTTGTTCATCGTCGCACACCGGGATAGCTGGCCTATGCACTTGGGGTGGTTTTCCTGGCTCTGCTTCCAAGGTTACAGACCCTGTGCCACTGCATCTGGCTTTTACATGTGTTCTGGGGATCTGAACTCAGGTCTCCAGACATGCACACTGAGGCCTTTTGGCAAATGAGCTATCTCCCAGTCCCTCCCTTAACTTCTGAAAATCCCAAAACTCCTAGAAGGACCCTCGTTAACTACACAATGTTATATGCTAAAAAAGCTAAGAAGACTAAATAGGCAATGATGGGGACAAAATACATAGAAGACTATATTTATTTGAAGAATTGTTACTCAGACTTCCCTTGGTTGTAGTAGTCTCCAATGTAATGTTACATTATGTATGCATTAGTTATTCTTTGTGCTCTTGAGAAAAATTCCACACGAAAGCCATTTAAAGCAGGAAGGTTTGGTTTGGTACCGTTTGAGGGTACATTCCATCATGATGGGGAGTCATGGCAGCATGAGGGTAAGGTGACTAGTCACATGGCATCCTCAGTCAAGAAACAGAGACATGCTCCACACACTTTCTGCTCTTCACTCATTTGAGACTCCAGCCTGTCGGATGATGCCATCACATCCGGGGTGGGTCTTCCTGCCTAAATTAAACACCCCCTCACACAGGGATAGAAGTTTGTCTCCTAGGTGAATCTAAGCCCTGCCAAGTTGATAATCAAGATTAACTATCGCAAGTCTTCATTTTATCAGCTTGACACCCAAGCATATCATTTTTAAATCATTGCATTCCATCCTGATCCTTAAAATCTTATGTTCATTTTATAATGCCAAATACATTTAGTTCAGCTCTACAAGTCTCCTCTATCTGAATCTAAAAATTCAGAAGTGTAAATACAGTCTCTTTATGAGATTTAGGAAATCTCTTATCTATGAGCCCTATAAAAGCCAAGCCTACAAGTCATATACGTCTCGTATACAATATCATGGAGGAAACATTCTCATTCCAAAAAAGAAGGAATGGGAATGAAGCAAGCAAAGACTCAGCCAAGGCACGACTGGATCACAGCAGGGCCAACACCAAATCCTGTAGTTCCCTGTCTGGGATCTGGGGCTCTTGGTGGCGTTGTCTGGGCTGCAGCTCTCTTGGCTTGCTGCAGTGCTCTGGTTCTGGTGCCTGCTGTGCACACAGACTCTCTTGAGCCAGCTCTACTCCATGCCTGCTGTTCTTCTTGGACAGCACTCCCCATGACTAGCATCTCCAATATCCTGGGGTCTCCATTTGTACCTTGGGCTTCACCTTCTCAGCCTCATGCAGTGGTCTCTTAATGCCACCTACATACTGCCTGGCTTCAGTAGCTTCTAGAACTCTGGGGCCAGCCACTGTGACTCCCTCACTTCTGTGTCCTCCATGCCTGCAAAACCAGTGCCACGTGGAAAATGCTGCCAAGTTGTGTTGCCAGATCAAGGTGTAGCATGACCCCCTGAGACAACCCCCTTAGCAGCCTTTGTGTGCCTTTGAGGCAGACCCCAGGAAAACACTTTCCTCCGTGGCCATTTGGAGTGGGGAATACCTGTCCTCTAGCTCTGGTTGTTTGAATTTATGTTTTCACAAGCTTTGTGTGAGTGAGGTCTTGCCCTCGGAGTACTTTTCCTATTGTCCCAGAGGGACACTGATTTCTTCAACAACTATAGCTACTTCCTCTACATCTGCTTTAAACTTGCTGTAGTCCTTTCTCATCATACTGCACACTTTATGCTTTTCTACTGTATTTGCTGCCGTCTTACACTGTAGTAGTGGCCTGCTACTCTCTTCTTATGTCATTCTAGGGCCTCTCCAGTCTGCAGCACCAAGCTCTTTACATTCCTCTAGCAAACTAGCTCCAAAGGCCTGTGAATCCATGGGATTATATTTATCACAGCAGTGACCCTGCTCCTGGTACCATTTTTTTTGCATTAATTACCTTTCTAACTTCTGTGACAAAATACCCAACAAAAGCACTTGAGGAAGGATTTACTTTGACTCATGGTTTGAAGGCATAATCCATAACGACAAGAAGGAGAGTGAGGTGACAGGTCACATGGCATCCTCAGTCAGGAAGCAGAAAGAGGTGAAGGCTGGTTCCACTGCTTTCTCCCTTTTACTTGGTGGGTACTCCAGCCTATGGTACTGTCCACATTCAGGGGTGGTCTTCACTCCTCAGTTAGATCTCTTTGGAAACATCCTCAAATACATGCTCATAAGTTAGTGTCCCAGGTGTTTTAAATCGAATCAAATTGACAAGCAAGATTAACCATTACAATAATCCACTTTCTTTTTCACCTTACTTTGCAACTTTAAAGAATAATGGTCCATCCCATTAAGCTTTACATTTGATAGTTTAAAATATATATGTATGTTCTCTGGAAAGAAGACTTTTTAAAAATTGAAATTGCTTTCATAATCAACTCCAGAGTTTTAAAAACCATAGGAAACAACACATATTTTAAAGTAGGTTAAAAATACTGTTTGGCTCACTGGAAGAAATTGGCATATTTATTCAGTCAGTTCATCACACTAGATCAATACAAAGGATATTTGTATGGCAGCTTAAAAATAGTAATATATTTTAATAAAATTCTCATTCTGAAATACAAGTTTTCATACTATAAACTCCCCTTTGGCCATTAGAAATTCTTCTGTACTCCAAATGACTCCTTTGACAGAAATGCCTCTGAAGACCATTACTGCTGTGAAGAACATGTCTGCTATGAACACCCCAACTGCTGGTATCATGCAGTTTAGAACAGTGCCCTTCATTTGAGAAAGAACTTCTTTGGAGTCTATATCTCCAGTTGACTATGCAGTAACTTGTGCCCTGTCTAGGCACAGGAGATACACTTAGTTCAAAATAAGCTTTGGTTGAGGATATGGATGTAACTCAGTTGGTAGAGTGTGTGCCTAACATGCATAAAGCCTGGGTTTCCAGCCCCAGCTCAAGAAACCACAGCAAACCTGAAACAAGGAATGGCGGCACTTGCTTGTAACCTCAGCACTCAGGAGGTAGAAGCAGGAGGATCAGTTCATGGTCATCCTTGGCTACATAGGGAGTTCAAGGTCAGCCTGGGCTATATGAGTCACTGTCTCAAAATGAATAAATTAGCTTAGATTGTTTACTTGGACAAGACTGGAAAGAGTATCTCCAAAGGCTCTGCCAGTGTTATAGTCAGGATCTAGGGGAGCTACCTGAGAGGTGCCAGCTCCTCTGAGGAACTTAAGTAACTTACTCTTGTAGCAGAGGCAGAAGTACAAGGCAGGCAAAACTGCCCAGTTGGACTCTGGGTAAAACTGTCAGAGAGCCCCAAGGAAACTGCCATGAGGAGACATCTGGCACCCATGCCAAGTAGGGCCCTCTGCCTAAGTTCTGTCACATCCCTCCACCCGGGTCCCCACCACCACTCTCCTACAGTGGTGGATAGACAGAAACTCAAGGCCAAACTGTGTTGGGGAAGCCACAAAATCACCTTTCTGAATGCTCAGGTAAGAGATGAGGGCACTCACTGTGGTTTCCATGACATGGTGATTTTGTGCTGTTGTTTAAATCTCACAGGGCTACTTAGCAGTAGGACTGACACTCATTGCCCCATGTGCATAGCATTCTGTATCTTGTCTAATTATTCCTTACTCATCCTAGGAGGTAGATGCTTCAATCCCTCCACTGTCCTAATGAGAAAAGGCAGGCTCCCTGAGTTCACTCACAGCCAGTGTCACACATCTAGTGCATTAGGGGACATGGATGTGAATAAATATTCTCGAATGATATCTCCCATAACCAGGAAATCTAGGGACAGTCACACATTAATCCTCAGTAAAGTATGCATAGGTGGTTACTTTCTACCCTGCTGAAAAACAAAGAACCTGAGTTCCCTGGGAGTGAAAATACTAGCAGATGCCAGCAGCACAATCCACAGCCTGGCCTTTTGCCTCCCAAACAAGTTCATCTGTCTCTCCCTCCAACAGAAGCCAGATTTCTCACCACTCTATTGTTGCCATTTGCTCTGGAGAGTGGAATTATTCAGACAAGATTGGCCTTGCTTTAAGCTGTGCGTCTGATACCCAGGGGCAGCTTAGAGACCTGCACTTCCATCACTAATTACTTCTGCGGCTCATTTCCATGCCTCCACCTCCCCGCTTTCTGCAGCTCTCTGCCTGCAGAATCATCGATTTTGAGATTGTCTAGGTGTTAAAGATCCCGTGGCCACATCTAGACAAAGCTGTCCCTCTACTGAGAGGAAACAGAAGCTCTGAAGGGGCAATGGTTTGTCTAAGATCACGAGAGCATCTTAGTGCAGCCTTAGAGGTCATTCTGTCCAAATTCCTGGCATCTGCTTTCCTAAGACACAGCCCCAAACAAAGGATGCTTCACAAGGTGGCCTGTTTGCATGAGTCAGATCCAGTTACTGGAAAAGGAGCCTCAGGGTGCATCTCCCTTCAATTCTGACCCTAATGGACTTGGTTCTCACCATCTAATTAAGTTTTGTGTGATCTCTAAAGGCTTTTCTTCTTTCTCCACCTGCAATTCAGTTGAGAGAATGTTTTGTTTTTACACCTAGGTCTGTCTATTCTGCATGGTTAGATATTCTAAAGATCTTTTAACTTAATTTTTGAAGATTTTTTTCCAAGCATATTGAGAGTGCAGTTGCTGGGGTTGTCTGGATTTGTGGTGGACAAAGTGTAGCCGTATCTAAAAATAAGAACTAGTGGCTCAACAGTATACAGATGAAAGACACCCCGCCCCCAGAGGTAGGAGGTAGCATCCTGTAGCTTAGACACATGACTGGGGTGGGATCTGTTAACTCAGGTATACCCTCAGTTCACCTCAATTCAACGCAGGATTTTAAACTGGGCCAATTGTTATATGTGAATATGTGAGCATGGTGAGTTTGTGGGAACATGCATATGTTTGTTAGCGATTAAATATTTTAGGCCAAGTGAAAGCAAGTCTGTGTGTGTGTGTGTGTGTGTGTGTGTGTAGGCATTGATGAATTAATGACAGATTTTATAACACCATATCTATCAGGGCCTCAGCAGGAAGCAAATGACAGACTCAAATTAGGTAATTCAAGGAGATTTTAATAAAGGGGCTGCTTTGAAAGTGTGGGCAGGACGTAGGGAAATCACAGGGCCTGCGGGAAGGGGCTGGAGCTATAGAGACATGGGCATGTGAGGAAAATGAAGCCCCACCAGCAGCCAGAAAGGAGACGAAGCAGCCCACCAGGCAGGGAGAAGCTTGGACCAAGGGGCACATATGAGATCCAGCCCAAGTCCTTCTGCTACCTTGTGGAGGTCTCTAAACCCTTTGTGCCCCTGATGAAAGTGTGAACCATTGCTCCACAAAAGGATGTGTACTCACAGGCACTAGTAATTTTGCAGGTGGTTTCTTTTTTGTTCTTAGAGACTATTTTATCTACAAATGTAAGTTTTCTTAAAAGATGCTTTTTTAGGCTAGGGATGTAGCTTAATGGTAGAGCACTTTCCTAGCATGTACAAGGCCCTGGGTTCGGTCCCTAGCCTGCCTCCAAAAGACACTTGTCCACAAATATACGACTTACACAGAGTAGTGATGAGGGCTCCTTTCTCTCATATTGTTCCCCTCAGTGGAAGTTAGCATCCTAGATCATGGTGGGGAGAGGGAGAATGTCTTTCTGGGGGGTTATACATTTATACATATGCAACCTAAAACTCCATGTCTTTGAAGACCTCAAAAACACCTCTGGTCCTCATCTAGAGAGATGGTTCAGTGGTTAAGAGCACTGGCTCCTCTTCCAAAGGACCCGGGTTCAAGTCCCATTACCCACATGGCTGCTCACAACTGTCTGTAACTCCAGTTCCAGGACATCTGGCACCCTAACACATCCATGCAGACCAAACCCCAATGCATATAAAAATAATAAACCTTTTTTAAAAAGTTCTTAATGTGCAATCTGTGAAGCCCTTTCACACCTGTGCTTTGACCTCATTGACAAAGCACCACACCCTCCCAACCAGAAAGGTTTTGAAACTTGCCAGAAATGACCTGACTTCATCAAAGCTCAAAGCCAGAGGCCTGGTCTGTGTTCCTTTCTTCTAGCACACCTTCAACCATTGTGGGACTTGCCTAACAACACATACATGAAGCAGCCTAAGAGATATATAGATATACCCAGTGCTGACAGCCCGAGGGGAAACAGACGCACTTTTAATGATGTCTGATTTCTCGGTTCCCCTCTGAGACTTCCTAAGACAGCATTGCTACTAAAAGGCAGTGTGGTTTGGATTTCCTCTCTTGGTTCATCTGCTAGATATTCCTCGTGTGCTAGGTGTTTCCAGCAGGCGTTCCATGTTGGAAACGCACCCACAGCAGCTTTCATGAGGCTCAGGGTTTGGCTCGGCTCCCCTTCCATTTCACAGCATGCAGATCACCAAGCTCCTAGGCCAACTGACAGAGACAGAGCTGAAGTGGGCTCTGGCGTTCATCACTCCCTACAATCTGGATTTCCCCTCCTCCCTTCAAAAGCCCCAGAGTATGTTGTGAAGGCAGCCACTCCCATCATTTTCACAGAAAGCCATGGTTTGGGAAGGCCTCCTCCAGGGGGGTGTGTTTGTACGCCCCCATGGGCCTTTTTCTGCCTCACCTTCTTGCCATGTCAGTGGGGAACCACTGGTCCCAGGTGCACGTAGCCCTCTTTAACATCCTTGTCCCCTTGTCCAGCCTGTCAGCACAGAAACCAGTGTTATTAATAGAAAATACCATCTGAAATTTGTTGAGTGCTGACCAAGTAGCCAAGGGGGTTATCTCTTCATCTCTGAGAAACTCTGGATTCAGAGGTTCTCATTTACCTAGACAAGGCCACATGCCTTATACAGTGCCAGAGAGGGCATCAAGGGCTGGCAGCCTAGCCCCACAGCCAGCACTTGCAGCTACAAGTAAGCTAGTAGGACTGTTAAGGTTGTTCCCCCCCAGCCCCTGCTTCCCCATGTGGCCCAGACTGGTCTGCAGCTCACTATGCAAGCCAGGCTAGCTGCTAACTCACAGTAACCCTCCTACTCTCCTGATGCTGGCGTGACAGGTGTGTACCACCACAGCCAGCTAGTAATATGTTTTTAAAAATCAACAACAGACAACTTTTTAAATGGCTGTTCTTGCAGTTTATCAGGTCCGTAGACTCTAAATAAACAAACTTGGCATTGGGCCTGTCTCTCGGGGAGGAGTCCCAGCAGGCTCTACGGTGTGGCCCCCGTCCCAGATGCAAAGAGACTGCCAGGCGATATTTTCCTATCGGTACAGAATCAACTGTAAGAGTGTATATCAGCTGGCAAAATTACTTCCCAGCAGGCAAAGCTTTGCTGAGAACAGCACCTCCTTCACAGAGAAACCCAAATCCCAGGCTCAAATTTCCCCTCCCAAGTCAACCCGGATCCTGCATGCTTGTTGCTGTTTTTCCTGCTGGTTTAACAGTTTTTGGTCCTGGTTTAGGAAGGAGTTTCCACTACTCTATGGGAGGAAAAATCATTTCTAAACAGATACGAGTGCTTCCAAGGGATCTGTGCGCCGTGATAAAAAACCCTTCTCCATTCAGCAAACATTATTGAATGTCAGCTCAGCATGGGGAAGCCCTTGTAATGGCTGGCACTACTCAAAGCTAAATTTGGCCGCATGCTTCCTTGCACAGGAGAATTCAGGCCTCGAGAGTGGAACCTCTTGTGGATAATGAGGGGATGGCTTTGAAGGTCTCTTTCAGCTTCTGGTTCTGTCCCATGCTGAGCTTCGTGACTGACAGAGAGTGGGATGAGGCAGGTCCTGTGATCAAGAGAAGGATAAACGTCAACCCAAATAGCAAAACTGTTTATACATAAAAATCCAGGCAGCTCTCCTTAGCTGTGCATTCTACATCTGTGGATGCCTCTAACAGAGCTCAAAGGTGTTTGAAGAAGCAGTTATACCTGCCCCAAAGAGGAGTGGGTTTTGTTTCCTTCCTTTTTCCCTCAACAATACAGCACAGTCACTATTTGCACAGAATATATACTTTGTTAGGCATTACAAGTTATCCAGGGAGGGTCTGACCCATGCAGGGCAATGTGCAAAGTGTATAGACTAATACTATGCCATTTTATATAAGGCATTTGAGCCTCATATAAAACAAGTCTTGGTGTCTACAAGGCTCCTAGAATCAACTTCTTGGGACTACTGAGGGATGACTAAGAATAATTAAGCTAAGAATAATTAAGATGAAACTGGGGATGTAACTTGATTGTAGACTGTTTGCTTAGTATATACAAAACCCTGGTTTCTGACTCCCAACACAGAGTAAAACCAGATGTTGGTAGTGTACACCTGTAATCATTTGGGAGGTAGAGGCAGGAAGATCCTAAGTTCAAGGTCATTCTCAGCTGAATATTGAGTTTGAGGCCAGGCTGGTCTACAGAAGTCAAAAAGAGCAACCAGTCTGCCTTTAAACCTTGCACTTAGAATACAGAGGCATGCAGAACTCTATGACCTAGAAGTTATCTTGGTTTACATAGTGAGCTCCAGGCCAACCAGGGTAGGCTACATAGTGAGACTCTGTCTCAATAACAGTTGTCATCATCATCATCATCATGAAATAAATATGAAGTAGCTAGAGCCCAGGGTATGAATTGAAATCAGGGACACTTGTAGAGCAAGTCTCATCCCCTCTGTGGGCCTGTTTCCTTTTCTGTGAAATGGGCTGTGAGGTCTTTTTAAACTCTTTATGACAGCCTAAATTAACACACCTAGGTGTCGAGGGTTGGAGGCCAGGGAGGGGTTTTGGAAGCTGGACTGCTGAAGTGTGCACTGTTATTTATAGCCTTGTCACACTGGGATGGGGCTTCAGCCCTGCCCCACAGACGCACATCTGACAAATGATTTATTACAGCAATTGACGTTTATACTTACTCATCCTTTATCTGTTCCTGCTAATGGCACAAGGGACCATGTGTGAAGCATCTCAGTGCTGTCAGGCCTCAAAATGGCTCAATTTGGTCCAGGGTTGGGGATGTTCTGTCTGGTCACAGAACAGGTATCTCTGTGAAGGTCTCAGTAAGAAGGCACATTGAGCGAGGGCTTGGAAAGAAATGCACACCCATGGAACTAACATGGGAGGAACACAGAGGGCCACTGCAACCCTGGACTTGCAGTCACTGTGGGAGGTATAGGTGCCTAGATTTAAACCGGTATCCCTGGCAGAAGCAGCAGTCACAAACAGACACAGCGACTAGCAAAACCGAGATGGGGCTGGGAAGCAGTAGGCAGAGTAAATACCCACCTTCTCCTCCTGCTTGCCTGACTCCCCAGCCAGTTCCTCCCATCAGCCACACCTCCAGAAACCAGAGGGAAGGCAGCAGACCCCAAAGAGCAGAGACTTGGCTCTAGTCAGTGGTTCTCAACCTTCCTAATGCTGCAACCCTTTAATACAGTTCCTCATGTTGTGGTGACCTCCCAAACCATAAAATTATTGTATTGCTACTTCATAACTGTAATTTTGCTGTTGCTATGAATCATAATGTAAATATCTGGTATGCTACGTTCAATGCCCCCGCCCCCAAAGAAGTGGCAACCCACAGGTTGAGAACCACTAACATGAGAAAAGAAAATAAATGAATTGCTTTATTTGAATAGTTTTAGGAACATAATGGTTTAATATTCAGTCCTTTGCAGACTTATTCTCACTACTCTAGAGGCTAGAGAGGAGTACCACACAGTGGCTTCCTGCTTGTGTCCAGCATCAGTCGCCTTTCTAGGTTGGCCTGGTAGTGATGCCTCTCATCCCTGACATCTCCAGCCCTATTTCCTCTCCTCCTCTTCTCAGCTCAGTACCGGAAGCTGCTCCAGCTGTCTCCCTGATACTTCAGCAGCATCAGGTCACAGGTGTGGGGTGCTTTCCTCAACAGCTGAGGTGCTGTTGGAGACACCTAGTTAACAAGCCCCCTGCCTCCTCTGAGGTTTCTATCTTAGAGGATTTGAACAGGCTGCATCTGAACAGGCTGAGTTGCGATCTCAACCATGACCCTTACCTAATGGTATTTGTACTTTTCTGTAGCTTGTAAAATCAAAGAAGAGTCCAGATGTGGTGGCATATACCCTGTAATCTCAACATTCAGGAGACAGAGATGGGAAGACTGCCACAACCATCCTAGTCTACACAGGTCAGCCAGGCTACATAGTGAGACTCCATCTCAAAAACAAACAAAAGAAAATAAACAAAAAACAGGCTACACACAAACACACGTACAACCTACTGAATCAACTTCATGTCACTCATGCATATATGTGGTTAGGGATGACCACTTAGAATTGAACGACATCAGGGAATAAACTCCTGAAGAGAATTGATTCACCCTCTCTCAGCAGCCATTGACTACCTGTAACACTTCGTCTAGGGATGAGGCCTTGTAAAATCTCCCTCACTGGCACTGGCATGTCAACTGATGTTGTCCTTGTACAGGTCTTGTTTAGACAACTATATTGTTGTGATTTCGTTCATATAGCTTCCCTGTCTAACAACAGGAGTCATGGTCCTCTGGCTCTTACAATCTCTCCCTCTTCCATGATGTTATCTGAGCCCTTAGGTGTATATATAAGGGCTGTGTTGTAGATGTATCAGTTGGGGATAGGGACCCTACAGTTAGTAGGTTCTCCTCTGAAATCTATGATCTCATTAGCTCTGGGTGATTGGATAAATTTACAGTATGAGCCATGATTTCCTTCCTGTTCAGCAAGCCTCAAGTCCAATTAGACAGTTGTTGCTTACCACCAAGATATAAGTACCACTATTACACCTTTAGGGATATCTTGCCATGCTGGTCATTGTTGTGATCATAGGAATTACATCCTGATAGAACTATTGCTTGCCTTTTTCCTTTGGCAGCTTATATTGCACTTCAGATATTATGAGAGCCAGTCCTCAGGCTTCAGGTCATTTCTAGCTTAATTCTTGCAAGTCCTGTGTTCAAAGTGCACTAGGGTCTTACTCTTATGTTCTAGAATATGCCAAGGACAATAACAGTAGTCTCTTGCACTGCGCTGGCCAGAAACGCAAAGGGAGGTGTCTCATCCTGGCACTGGGGTTATCAGATAATCTATGACTCTTGTGGGAAGCATTGACACTCCATTTAACATACATATTAATATGTTAAATATGTATTTTAAGTAAGCTTATAAAACAGTGTGTTAACCTGTAGCCTAAAAAATTCTTAGTATTATTTGTGTCTTCCTTCTCCCTCTCCTGACTCTCCTCAAGTAGTCCCCTCCTCCCCCATACCTAGTTAATCCCCTTAACCATCTGATGCTGTTGTCTCCACCCTACAGATAGGGAAACCAATGTGGCGGGTCCCAAAATTGTCTAAAGTGCTGAAGTAGCAAAGCAAGGATTCAGACCCTAGGACCTCCCCATGTCTATGTCCCTGTGCCACCTAGGGCCATCAGCATACTGCTTGCTGAGATGTTGTGAGACTAAAGGTAGTCATGAGTGAAGCCTCCAGGCCAGACTGAGCTTGTGTAAGTGCTCCACATACATTATGTCCTCTCTTCTCCCAACTTGTCCCCCACCAGTATCACCTACCTTCCCACCTAGCCAGCTGCTGGATCTAAATGTTTTCTGTTTGAGAGAGAAAACAGCATGTTGTTACCACCATCCTAGTTCCATCTGCCAGGTTGGGAGAATCTGGAGAAGCCAGCCAGCAGAAGGATGCCCAGAGGCTGGCACTGAGAAACTCAGTCTTTGAGGGGTTAAGAATCTGAGAAATTCATTTGCTGCTGCTATGACCACAAGACCATTCGACAAGCACAGGTGGTTATATAGGCCTCATAGCCCAGAGACCAAGTACCAGAATCCAGGTTCTACAAGAGTGGGCTTGGGTCCTGAGGGAGACGGGACCAGCAGGGCAAGAGCATTTCACAACTATAGCTCTCTGCACTGGCAAGTCTGTTCTGGGGGGTATAGGATACCATTGTCCATAGAGTGACTATCCCACTGTGGTGAAGCTACAAGGGTAAAGTCACTGAATATGGGATTGGAAAGAGATGGACACAGTTGGCTGACCTCGCAAGAGCTAGTGGACCTGGCCACAGTGACTTCAGTCCATCTTTACTCCCCAGTCAAGCCACACTCTTGGCAACTCTGAAAGCACCCGTCCTTCCCAACGAAAGAGCCTGCTGTCCTCTTAGCCAGGAATGCTGCCTCCACCTCTCACCTGTCCCTCCAGTTTCAGTGTGTTGTTACCCAGAGCTTTGCCTGAGGTTGAGTCTAGGCCCAAACTCTTCGCCGGCCCTGTGCTTAGCCTGGTTTTCCTCAGCTTCCCAGCCCTTCTCTATGTCCCGTTTTGGACTATGCGATGGATTGATGCTTGTCTCCCTCTAACAACAATAGAGCTCATCAGTGTGTCAGTAGTACCCAGCCCAGTGCCCAGCCACAGTAGGTGCTCTAAGCATTTGTTGACTACTGAAAAAAATGAGAGGCTGTCTGAGCTTGGGTCCTAATGAATAAATAGGCACTCACGGGGTGGAGAGGGGAGACAGCATGAGCCACAGCTCCAAAGTCTCTGTCCGGAGCATGTTCAGGACTTTCAGGAAAGCAGGCATGTGCTGTGGGAGGGAAGCAGAGTAGCTCATGTTAGGAGGGCCTATACTCCAGTGTTCTTATCACCAACACTGCTTCCTAGCCAAGAAATTTAAAACCAGAGGGATCAGAATGGGGTTATACAGAGGTCAGCCTTTCCCTTTTCAGATGAAGGGGTCCCTTCCCACTCTGAGTGGCTTTCCTGTGCTAGTCCTAGTCAGTGACATCAGGTGTCCAGACACCAGCAAATGCAATAAACCCTCCTAACTACAGAACTAACAGTTCTGCCCTAAGTCAGGACCTAAGAGAAATCAGGGAGCAGGAGAACAATCTAGAATGCTGGCTATATTATTCCATTTTATGTTCCTAATAACAATGTCATATCTGGGTAAGGACAAAGAAAGGGGGTATATTTTGACTTATTATTCTGAGTCAAGGTAGAGGGTGGAGACCACTGGGAGATGGTCTTCTTGCTGTTAGAGTCCTGAGGCAGCACAAGACATCACATAGTGACAGACAGATAGTGTTCAAGACACACACTGGGCCTGCTGTTACAGCATGCCCACTCTTTGTTTTGAGACAAGGTCTCTCTATATAGTTCTCGCTGTCCTGGAACTATGTAGACCAGTCTAGTCTGGAACTCACAGAGATACACCTTCCTCTGCCTCCAGAATGCTGGCATTAAAGGCATCTGCCACTATCCCAAGTCACACTTTTTTGAAAAGTTGTATTTACTCCTGTCTCATGTATGTGCATGCACCATATGTGTGCCTTGTGTCTGGAGGTCAGAAGAAGAAATCAGTTCCCCCAGAACTTGAGTTACAGAGAGTTGTGAGCCACCATGTGGGTGCTGGGAATCAAACCTAGGTTCTCTGCAGGAGCAGCAAGTGCTCCCAACTGCTGAGTCATCTCCTTAGCCCAGAACATCCACTCTTGCTATAAGTCTTTAACACATTTATCCATTAATCACAGAAGCAGAGATTCATGAGGAGAGGGCCTGATCACCTCGTAAAGGTCCTGTCCCTTCCACTTCTTAAAGTCTTACCATAGAGATTCAGTTTCAACATGCTTTTCAGAGGAGACAAACCACCTTCAAACCACAGTGCTGGCTAAGAGTGTGGACTCTGCAGCTGTACAGACTGGGCTTGGAGTCCAGTTTTATTCTCCTGACTATTGCCTTTTATGGCTTAGGCTTCTTAACCCCTCTGATCCCGCCTTCTCTTCCGTAAAGTAAGAAAAGCAACAAGTACTTAATGACACTGGTGGTTGTAAGCATGGAGTGACATGGTAAGTGTAAAACAAGGCTATGTCGGCAGCTACAGTATTACAGAGAACTCCGTGAGGACCATGTACTATGCACTACATAGTAAGGATTTAGTAGATGTTGGCAACAGTTGTTACTAATATTATTATCTCCAGGAGCAAGAAGAGTTAAGGCAAATAAAGATATTATTCTTTATCTTGGCCTTAGGATAAGAAGCTTAGATCTCTTAATTCATTATATCCACTCCCCCACCCCCATCTTTTCAGTAATGGTAAAAGTCTCAGAGAGGTTGAGTGACCTGCTCAGGGACAAAATGATAGTTTAAGAAGAGCATTTGGATCTCGGGCCTTCTTAGGAGCTTATACCCAGGACTGACCCATTTGACCTAGTCCTCCTCGACTCTAACTCATTCTTTGTCCTTTGGAAAAGCACTTCTCACTGTGCCTGAGTCTTCTCAGTGATAAACCAGTGGGGAGGGCTGTAACAGACAGGATAGGTATTGATAGCTGCTGTAACAAACAGTCCTCTCATCAGTGGTTTAACATCGTGGGTCAGTGATGTGGGAGGGCTTTGTGCAGCCATTCTGGGCTCTAGCCTGCTGCCATCTTGACTCGGTCTCCTCTAGAACTGCCTCATCAATCTCCTCTGGTTCCTAAACAATGAGTCATTAGATGGGGTGTGGGGGGGGGGGAGAACACAGAAGGCACACTGCACCGATCCGTCTCAGCATAGGTAACAGGCCTCAGGTCCATCCACATTCCACACGAGAGCCAGGGGTGGAGCACCAGCTAGGTATGAGGGACAGGGAAGTAAGGTCCAACTGTGCCCCAAGAAAGAAGACACCCGAAGCCCCTGTGGCCTGAGCCATCCCCTGCCTCTCAGATCAGACAGCTTCTGTGACCTCTGGCTCCACCGGAGCAGTCTGGACTCTGCCGAATCTGGCCCCATCTGCAACCCAGACCCTCCTCCCTGAGCTCTGCAAGTCCTCCCTCCCAGCAGGGAAAGAAGCCTTCCCTGCCAAGCCTCCTTGAGGGTGGGTGGCTGGTGAGATAATGATCTTACCACGCTTATTGCCTCTTGGAAGGCAGGTGCTGGAAGAAAACCAAGTCCCTCTGATTTTTCTCCCTGTTCCCTTCACATTCCTTCTCAGGATAAATTTAACCAGTGGAGCCTAGGATGCCAACTTCTTGTTCTCTGAGTCCATGTCAGAGCGTTTGTCATGGATGCAGCCTCAGGCTATAAGTGAAGGCTGCAGGACTGCAGGCCCAACCCCTGCCCTACCTCAAACATCTGTGATTCATCCCCACTCCCCTTGCCCAGTTGCCATGAGTACATCTCTGTGACGGGCATCTTCAGTTCTCCGGCGGTGTGAGAAAGTAGAATTTAGAAGGGCTGTAAGACCTTGCACTGAGATGCCTGCATTCTGAACAGATGGTTCAGAGATTCCAAGTTTGGGCTGTGGAGTCATAGAATCAAAAGTCATGGGAATCCTGACTCAAGCAAGTTACCTGCTCTTCTCTCTCATCTATAAAATGGGTCAACAACAGTGCATTATTCATGAGGTTAACTGAGGTATTCTGAATATATTTCTGGGGCTTTAGAAATGGTGGGTGTTGAAATGGCCACAGTCTGTCTGGTCTACATACCCTCAAGGCAGCCTGAAAGCCATAGGTTTCTCTTCGAGATATCCCTGGAGGTCACCTTGAAGATCCAGGCTCTTGGATCTCACCGTGGATATAGAACTGTTAGCCTTCCTGCAGTCCATTCCATCCTCCTGCTGCTGCATTTGAATTCACTCTGCTTTGCTTTGACCTGTATAGAGCTCTCCCACTGTTACCCAGACATTACTTACCAGATTTAAAGACGATCTCATTGCTCACACATTTTTCTTGACCTCCAAGCCTCCCTTTCTGCCTGATCAGTGGCTGTTCTTGTGTCACTGTCATTTTTTCCTGGGTCTCACTCTCTGGAGAAGACTCTCCTGCCTTCCCTCACTCTGTCCCTTCAACTACAGAGCCCACAGGAAACACCTGTGTCTGGCACCCCCTGAGAATGTTTCCACTGAATGGTTCTCAGCCTCCTTGGTGGCAGGTTCAGCACCCAGCCCTTGCCCAGGCATGGGTAGGGCAGAAGTCTGCTACCTAAACTTTCCTGTACTGTTTCCTGATGACAGAATCATCTAGGCCTGAGCTTCCTCATCTGGAAAGTGGGGGCAGTTAGGGTAGATATCCCAAAGGGACATGGGTGTCCTCAAAAGGTGATTACATGAAGAAACAATACACAAGGGTATACTTGAGACAAGAGGAGCCAACCTGTGTAGGTGGAGTTTTCCCGTCTTAGCAAACTTCCAAGTTACCACACAGAGGCCTATATTAATTGTAAATGTTCAGGCTTATTACTAACTAGCTTTTACATTTAAACCATTTCTGTTAATCTATGTTTTGCCAAGTGGCTCATGACTTTACGTGTCCTCCAGCACATCTTGTTCCCCTCTGTGGCTGAGTAGCATGTCCGACTCCACCCTTCCTCACCCCATCATTCTCAGTGTGGCTTTCCCACCTAACTTCATCCTGTTCAGCCATTGGCCAGTCAGCTAGTTTATTAAACCAATCATAACAACATATATTCCCACAGTGTACAAAAGGAACATTTCTCAGCAGACCTTGGTGGTGAAGGACCGCAAGGTTGGCAGTCCATGGAAGCTGTTATTCCAGGGCTGGCATGAGCAAGCAAAGGAGAAAAGCGTGGACTGTAGGTCAAGCTGAAGCTGCTCTCTAAGCCCTTGGCCTATGTGGGAGCTAAGCCACTGCTGGAAGCTAAGCAGACTGAACAACCATCCTTTCTGCTCTCCTGTTGGTACTTCCTTTGGACAAACCTACCTAAAAGCCAAGCAGATTGTTTGGCAGAAGCAGCAAGAGACAGGCTCCCCAGGCCAGAGCTGGGCAGAGAAAGACAGTGTCCAGTGCTCAGAATTATCTGTTGTGGGATTTTAGTAGTACTCAGAGTCGGTCTCAGCGAGTGTTCACCAGCTGCTGCTAACAGAGCTCTGACAGAACTGGAGCACGCCATCTTTGTAGACATGGAAGCTGACACCCTGGGGGCTAAAAAACGTTAAAGGCTACACCATTTGCAGGTGATGACGGTAGGATCTAGACTCATTTCTACCTAACTCTATAGAGTTCCCCAAAGGCAGTCAGAGCACTGGCCAGCATGCTCACCCTGCCTTCCTGCCACGCCTGTGGTCCTCCAGCTCCAATCCTGTTAGGCTTCACACTTCCTCTCCCAGCTGTACAGGTTCAGGTGTGAGCGTCCCTGGAAGAGAGATGCTGCCTCAACCATTGCATTCAGAGAACGAAGTCGGCCCTCGATGCGAGCAGCTTTGGCTTTGCATGTACAACTTTCTGGACTAGTTTATTTCCACCACTACACTTAATCCTATCACCAGGAACCCACTTTACAGCAGTGGGGCTTTGCTCAGAGAGATTATACTGTGCTGACGTTAGAGGCTGGCCTGTGACAGGCAGAGTCGTACAAGAAGGATTGTGTTTGATTCAGAATCCAAGTGGTCAGTGCAATTCCAACCCCAAGCCCAGCACTTAAGATCTGCAAAGCCACAGGCAGGTCCCCTCCCTGCCACAGGCATCTGAAAATTGGGGTGTGAACACTACCCTTCTGTGTGGGTACCACCCGAGTCTGGGAAGAGTGAAATGCGATCACTTCTATAAGCCCCCAGCTCATCACAAGGCACCCAGCAGCCAAAGCTGAGGAGCAAAAGGCAAATCAAAGGACTTGGCAGATATAGTGCTGAGTTTCCAGTGGGAAATCTCGGGTGAATCATTTAACCTCGCAGAGCCCCAGAAAATATGGAAGTCACTTCCCTCTGCCATGGGATGGAGACAAAGGTAAAATGAGGTGAGGTATCAAGAAACACTTTCCTCAGTTATCGTATAAACGTATTTCTTCAGCAAATAACAATGGCCAACACCAGTGTATGTTTCCTGTGCCCGTGGCTGGTCCACCACACTGACACGTGTTTTCAACTCTCGTGGCAACTGTACAGAGCAGAACTGTTTTACTGTTGCCACTCAAGATGCAGCCACTGAGTCTCAGAAATGTTAAATGACTGCTACACGGTTATGAGCCAGGCTTTGAGCCCAGCAAGGTTAGAGTTGGGCCCTGTGATACCCAAGCAAGTAGAACTAAAGAAGCCTGGGGCCAGTTGTGGTCAGCGGTAGTTCAAGCTTTCATAAACATAAAACTCATGGGGAGAGAGGTTTTCAGAGATGTGTCAGGGTGAAGTGCTTGCTGCTCAAGCACAAGGGCCTGGGATCCGTTCCCAGCACTCACATGCTTGAAATACTTTATTTAAATTAGAAACAAGCCTGTTTCCCACGTCAATCCCAGTCCCCTCTCCCTCCCCTCCTCCCCTGCCCCTCCCAACCCTCCAACACCCCACCCAATCCTGATTTTGCTCCCCAGGAAGGGTGAGACCCTCCATGGGGGAATCTCCAAAGTCTGTCATTTCATCTGGGGCAGGGCCTAGGTCTTCCCCCCATGTGTCCAGGCTGAGAGAGCATTCCTCCATGTGGAATGGGCTTCCAAAGTCCATTCAGATGCCAGGGATAAATACTGATCTCCTACCCAAGGCCTCACTGACACCCACCTTCAGGGGATCTGGATCAGTCCCATGCTAGCCTCTCAGCCATCAGTCTAGGGTCCATGAGCTCCCCCCTTGTTCAGGTCAGCTGTTTCTGTGGGTTTTACCAGGCTGGTCTTGACCCCTTTGCTCATCACTCCTCCCTCTCTGCAACTGGGTTCCAGGAGTTCAGTTCTGTGTTTAGTTGTGGGTGTCTGTCACTGGATGAAGGCTCTAGGATGGCATATAAGGTAGTCGTCAATCTCATTATTGGGGAAGGGAATTTAAGGTAGCCTCTCCACTATAGCTTAGATTCTTAGTTGGTGTCATCCTTGTAGATCTCTGGAAATCTCACTAGTGCCAGATCTCTCCCCAAACCTATAATGCCTCCCTCTATTATGGTATCTCTCTTCCTGCTCTCCTCTATTCTTCCCCTGACTCAACCTTCCTGCTCCCCCATGTCATCCTCTCCCCTCCTCTTCTCCCCCTTTTTCTCCCAACTCCCTTCTCCCTCCACCACCATGCTCCCAATTGGCTCAGGAGATCCTGTCCCATTCCCCTTCTCTGGGGTACCATGCATATATCTCTTAGGGTCCTCCCTGTTTCCCAGACTCTCTGGTGGTGGGATTGTATGCCAGCATTCCCCTGCTCCATGTCTGAAATCCATATATGAGTGAGTATATACCATGTTTGTCTTTTTGTGACTGGCTTACCTCACTCAGTACAGTTTCTTCTAGTGCCATCCATTTGCCTGCAAATTTCAGGATTCCATTGTTTTTTTCTGCTGAGTAGTACTCCATTCTGTAAATGCACCACATTTTCTCTATCCACTCTTCAGTTGTGGGGCATCTAGGTTGCTTCCAGGTTCTGGCTATTACAAATAACGCTGCTAAGAACATAGTAGAATAGACGTCCTTGTTGTATGAATGTGCATCTTTTGGGTATATGCCTAAGAGTGGAATTGCTGGGTCTTGTGGTAGACTGATTCCCATTTTCCTGAGGAATCTCCATACTGATTTCCAAAGTGGGTGCATGAGTTGGCACTCCCACCAACAGTGAAGGAATGTTCCCCTCTCTGTACATCCTCTCCAGCATAAACTGTTATTGGAGTTTTTGATTTTAACCATTTTGACAGGAGTAAGATGGTATCTCAGAGTTGTTTTGATTTGCATTTCCCTGATGGCTAAGGGTGTTGAGCACTTTCTTAAGTGTCTTTCAGCCATTTTAGACTCTTCTAGTGAGAATTCTCTATTTAGTTCTGTACTCCACTTTTTAATTGGATCCTTTGGTGTTTTGGAGACTTGCTTCTTGAATTCTTTGTAAATTTTGGAGATCAGCCCTCTGTCAGATGTGGAGTTAGTGAATATCTTTTCCCCCTCTGTGGGCTGCCTTTTTAAGTCTTATTGACTGTGTCCTTTGCCTTACAGAAGCTTCTCAGTTTCAGGAGGTCCCATTTATTAATTGTGGATCTTAGTGTCTGTGCTACTGGTGTTATGTTCAGGAGGTTGTCTCCTGTACCAATTCGTTCAAGGGTACCATCCACTTTCTATTCTAAGAGGTTCAGTGTGGCTGGATTTATGTTGAGGTATTAGATCCATTTGGACTTAAGTTTTGTGCATGGTGATAGACATGGATCTATCTTCAGTCTTCTACATGTCAGCATCCAGTTATGCCAGCACCACTTGCTGAAGATGCTTTCTTTTTTCCATTGTATAATTTTAGCTTCTTTGTCAAAAATCAAGTATTTGTAGGCGCACTCACATTTTTAAAAGCCACACGTGTATAATCGCAGTGCTGAGAAGGTGGAGAGGAGGATTTTCCAGGGTCTCATTAACCAGCCCATCTAGCCAGCTGATGAGCTCAGGTTTTAGTGAGAAACACTCTCAATAGTAGGGTGGAAGGTAATCAAAGAAGACATCTGATGTTGACCTCAAGGTACACACACGTGTAAGTCATTACATTCACAATCATTGCACACACACACACACCACTCCCCAACAAAGATGCTGAGTTCAGACAGGAGAGTTCATAAGCAGACCCATTTTCACCTCTTGCCTCCAGGTTTGCCAAGTACTACAAGATGGAGAATGGCAGCGAGTACCGCACACTCCTGAAGGCTTTTGGGATCCGCTTTGATGTGCTGGTGTATGGGAATGTGAGTCCTGGGGTCCAGCATATGAGGGAAGCAAGGGAGGTTCCCATGCCTGCACCTGGGCCTTAAAGAGGCTCTCAGGGGGTGGGGGTCTTCTGAGGGCCAACCGGCCACCTCCCCCATTAGCTCCTTAAATTTTTATAGAGTGGAACTGTCTGACCCTCCGTAAACCCTTCAGGCTCCACTGCCTCTCTAACAGGAGCCCAAGTTTAACCTCAGCCCTTACCCCCTCCCTATTGGACCCACTGTCTACATGTCTTGCTCCTTACACATACAGGCTGGCAAGTTCAACATCATCCCTACCATCATCAGCTCCGTGGCCGCCTTCACTTCTGTGGGAGTGGTAAGTCGTCTTTCCAGGCTCTCACAGGGCAGTTAGGGTGGGGCCCAGCCAGGCATGATGCTGTCAGACAGCTCAGCTAAGCCCTCCTTTTGGCCTCCAACACCTGCTGCTGAGTAGCCCTGGTTTGGGCATCTCCCATCATTATCTGCCAAGGCTCATGGGCTCCAAAGATTGCCTTCACCTGTTTTCAGGTGGTTCTGTCTTATAAAAAATTCCTGCCTCCCATCATGAAGGGAGGAGAGACTCCATGCTTCCCCAGTCCTAAGATGTCTTAGTGAGGAACATGCCACCAGGCAAAGTGGGGACAAAGGTCCACTGCCAGGGACTGCTCCCCAGCTCCCTGTGCTTCTCCCTTCACACTCTCTGGGCTTGTGACCCAATGGTGTTTCTCAGTAGCTAGAAGGAGGGCCATAGAGGACCCTGAAGAGCCTCTGGGAATTTTCTGGGTAGAGCTGTGCAGCCGGGTCTCCTGGAAGACCCAACCCCTTCATGCTCCTCCCCCTCGGTGCTTTGGCCACCTGTCTGCTGAAGGAAGTCCTGGCCAAGAGCTGGGCAGCGCAGGGGCCATCTGAGCCCTGCCCATGTCAGAGCAGATGTCTGAGCCTGCACTGCCCTCTTCCTCCTCCAGGGGACTGTTCTCTGTGACATCATCCTGCTCAATTTCCTCAAAGGGGCCGATCACTACAAAGCCAGGAAGTTTGAGGAGGTGAGCTGGGGGACAGAAAAGCAAAGGAAGCAGAGCAAGGAGGGCTGCTGGACCCTGGGGACGCCCCATGGCTTCCTGTCCACGGGGTTCTGAACGCAAGTTCAGTGGGCCTCCATTCCTGTGTGGGGGCCAAGAGAGGCTTGGGCCAAGAATGGACTCTGGAGATTTCGAGCTGGGCGTAGCTCAGGGGTCTGGCGCTTACCTAGCATGCACAATGACATCAGCCCTTCCCTTACAAGAAAAAAATTGGGAGGGGGTAGTTCTGTGGGTCATTGTCAACCTACACACCACTCACTGTCACTTGTCCACATATGGGGCAGGAAAGACCCTGCCTGGAGATGGCCTGGGTTACAGTTTTCCCTTGGGGTGCATGCACAGTCCTGGGCAGCCCCCCATCCCACCCCACTGCTGATTCTGTCAAATGAGTCACACTGGAAGATCGTGCCCCACATCAAGCATGACAATGCCAACTCTTGTGCTTGCAGGTGAATGAGACAACACTGAAAGGCACCGCCTCTACCAACCCAGTGTTCCCCAGTGACCAGGCCACTGTGGAGAAACAGTCCACAGACTCGGGCGCCTACTCCATCGGCCACTAAGACCTCTTCCCAGGGTCCCATGCTCACCCTTAGGCTGCAGAACCTCCAATGGGTGGCTCTGCCTGTCTGGGCAGATGGGGTGGGTTGGGGGAAGGGGCTCTCATTTCTGCTGCTCACCCAAAAGACCACAGGCAGGTATCTAGGCCCTCACTGTTCAGCAGACAGGTAATTCTTCCCACTAAGATCTGAATCTTGCCTTTTCCCCTTGCATGCCTCCCATCTGCTTCCCAGAGTCCTGGGGGCAGTGGTACCCATCCCTTTGCAAAGGATAGAGAAAATAGTTGCTAGGGTAACACCGTAGGGGCCTACCAAGTACCAGGCACTTCCATACACGTTATCTCATTGAGTCCTTAAAATAATCCTATAGGATATGTTTCTGATTTTTGTTTTTGAAGAGAAGCAAAGGCTCAGGGAGACTGAGTCATTGCCCCAGGCCACATGTCCAGAAAATGAGACTTATACCCAGGCCTAACTCCTTTGCCCACATCTGTGAGGGAAGAATGAACTCCCTAGGTGTGTGCCCTTAGTGTCAGTTGGCTTTCCCATGGCTAGCACCAGTGAGCTTTCTCGGGAATGCAGGCCCTACTTTAGGGGATCCCAGTGACATAGAATATAAACTCTCATTTCTGACGTGGTCAAGTCCAGCTTCAGAAGGAAATAGGAGGTATTTCTGTCAGTGAATTTTACCTTGCCTCACCCCATATCTAAATAGTAGGAATAGACCTTTATTCTCCAGTTAGACCCTCACACACCTGGACCCTCACTCCAGAATTCAGATAGAACACACACACACACACACACACACACACACACACACACACACATACACACACACACACACACACACGAGAGAGAGAGAGAGAGAGAGAGAGAGAGAGAGAGAGAGAGAGAGAGAGAGAGAGAACACAACAGGTGAGACATGATTTTTAAACCTAGCACACCCCAGGACATTGTTGGAAAAGCCTGTTAGGAACTAGGGATGTAGCTGAGTAGGTATAGTGCTTGTCTAGCATGTATAAAGAAAGCCCTAAGGCCAACCTCTATCATATATACACCAGGTATGGTGACACACACCCATAATCCCAGCACTCAGGAGGTGGAGATGGGATACAGCCTGGGACCCATGAAAATGTCGCAAAAAAAAGAAGTGGGGTGCACAATGAAATCCAATACCCCGTGAGCATTCAGCCAGGTCAGCCAGGCCTGTTCCACAGGATCCTAACAGGTGACGAGTTAGGAGCAAAGGGGCCCTCTGAAACCAGCATGTTCAACCCTCTTGCTTACAGATCATCAACACTGAGGCCAGAGATGGAAAATGGCTTGCCTTGTGCCATAGTGAGGGAACAAGAGAGAACACAGGTGTCCTGTGCTCAGAGCAGAAGTCAAGTCCACCTTGCCCCCATTGGCTCAGATGCCCTGTCTTCTTTCTGGGCTTTCAAAGAAAAGGAGAGAGTGAGAGGAAGCCCTAACTCCCACAGGGCAAAGCTCGGGAACAGATCAGAGTTTGTGAAAGAAACAACTTGAGAGGCTTTTTTGATTTTTTTTGGTTGGTTGGTTTTGATGAAAAGACTTTGCTATGTATCCCTGGCTGGTCTCAACCTTTCCCCAGTATTGGGATTTACCAGCAAGCGCCATCATCCAGCTGGGGGCATCTGTTTAAAAGCAATACAGAATTAGGTATCAAAGAGGTTCATGCAAGAGAGTAGGCCTGAGGTATAAGTTTCCTTAGTGTCAGAGCCAATCTCCTCTGGGAATGTGGGTGTGATGATGAGGTCTTAGCAGAGTTGAACATACATGTAGACAGAGGGCTGGCCCCTCACCAGAATGTACAGAGAGATGAGGGGGAGGAGGAGTCTAGGAGTACCTTGGGGAGGCTTCTACAGGAGTAATTGAACAGACACGACCCCAATGATCCCCACCCTGGGAGGAGAAGGGGTAAAAGTCCTCCCACCAGGTTAATCAGCCCTCCCCTCACTCTGCTTGCCCACAGCCCCCATCGTTATGGGCAATGGGATGCTGTCTCCCCAGCACCAGAGTCAGGCCCTGGGTAGTATCAGGAGACCTCGCCAGGCTTCATCTCTCCAGCAGAGACATCAGCAAGGGAAACAGCACATCCTCCAAGAAGGAGGCACACAGCCCACTTTGAGCTAAGGCTGAGTTCACAGAGATGCTTCCCAGGAGCAGATGAGGCACTATGTCCTAGAAGGCAATGGTACCCCAGACTAGGATAATCCTCCCCTAGAGGCCCAAGCCTCTTCTGGACCTTCCAGTAAGTGTGTAAACCCATTCTCTACTCCCTTTGTCTGAATCAAGTCCTAGATGTAGGCCAGTAGTAGAAATTACAACAGCCAGCTTGTATCTGATACACTGTGGTTTACTCAGCGCCGTTACCAACATGGTCACACGGGCCCTGACCACACCTGGGGAGGTTTCTGTGGTTTGTTATTAGCTTTATTTACTTGGTAGAAAAACAAACGGACAGTTCTCGGAACTAGAGTTGGAAGCTGTGCTCACTCTCAAGGCTGCGTTGCTCAGCGTACAAGCTGTCAGTCAGTGGTGGGATGGCTCACCATTGGCAAGCTGTGGGCCAAATGTATGACAGGCATTGCCCAATTCAGTCTTCATTTTACAAAAGAAACTGAGGCTGGGTAAAATCAAGGGATGGAAGTCAAACTGGCCTGAACCAAGAGATTTGGGATGCTGGAGTGTAAGATGTTGACTTATGTGGTATATCTATTGGGGGAAAGTCGGGAAATTTGCCAACTCATCTTTTATCTATATATGATGTTACCTGGGCTAAGCAACATCTTGCTGTGGTAACTAGTGAAATCTAAGAGAAGTAGCTAGGCAGAATGAGACTCGTGGTGTCAGGGAAATGGAGAGCTGGAGAACTGTAAGAATCATCTGGTGCCCAGGCCTGCACCGGCCAGAAGCAGGAACAAGTTACAGAGCCAGCTTACTGAAGGAATACCAAGGAAGTGGGCACAGCAGTGTGTTTCCCTCCCTCCCCAGACCCCCACCAGACCCTGACATCCCAAACCCTTTCCTTCTGCGGTCCTTCTCACAACACCTTGTTCTCAGCACATTATCAGCAAGCCTCCTGGGGATAGTAACTGATGAGGTTCTGGGGGCTGCCTTCTCACCGTCCTGTGCCTGTTAATCAGGAGAGAGAGCTTGGAAGGCTTTAAACAGCCGGCCGGCACAATCGCTACCTAAGGGCAGAGTGAGGTACTCAGAAACAGGGCCAGAGACTTGAGGAGCATTCCAAGAGCTTGGTGTGCCCTGAGGAGGCTTTAGTTCCTCCCCTGCCCCCTCCCACACCTCTGCCTTTGGTTCTGACCATCAGGGTGTTGGACTGCTTAGTTAGATGCCGTTCTCTGTCAGGGAAGAGAGGAGGCAGTGAGACGGGGAGAGAGTGAATGCATCAGGAGCTTGATGTGCCCTGAAATGTCTTCCTTGCTGCTCATCCTCCCACCCCGGCAACAATCCCACTTTCTCTTTAGAAGCACTGAGTCAAGAGTCCACTTACTGCAGTGACCTACATGGCAGCGACTCCTAGGCAGCTCCACCTCTTGACAGGATGCTATGCCATGATTAGCAGCTGAGGCAACAATCCCTCTACCAACACAGACCTGGGCATCCACCATCAGTGAGGTGCCATGGGTGCCATAGACCTCCATGTTCCAAGGGCTTATATATACTGTTTCTTCCAACCCATTGTCTAGGACTGTGCCCCATCCCTGCTCAGATCCAGTAGCCATAGAGATAAAATACGTGGGATACTAGTATTTTTGCTCCTGAAGCCATATTACATCAGATGCAGATACAAACATAAACCTGTACCTAGTCACACATTGACACACCTACATACGTGTGACCAAAGACACAGGTAAATAGAGATGTATATGTGCAGAGACTCAGGTACATAAAGGTGTAAGTTAACACAAACACAAATCTGCAGAGAGTTGCAAAAGTGCACACAACATGTCAGTACAAACATGCATTCACACACACACCTATGTAGGTTCACACTCAGATGAGTGTGCACATCCATGCATACTCAAAAATACAAATGTGTACATTTACAAGTACATGTACAGAAATTCTCTCATCATAAGCGCACACACATACAATTTGAGGTTCTCTCTATACTCTTTAATGCCCAGTCTTAACTCTGAACTTCCTGTTCTGTCTACTCTAAATCCTTTTTTTTTTTTTTGCAAAATCCTTCTAGCCCAGTGTCCTAGCTGGCATACAGCTAAAAGTAACAATGATACCCCCCCTCAGTCTCTCCAGGTCTGAGACAGTGAGAACAGAACTGAGGCTGGGATCGATGCTGTTGCCAGTCTCTTGCCTTTGGCTTCTGAGTGGAGGACAGATCCCTTCAAAACTGTGGCCTCTTTACAGAAAGGGGGGGTGATAAAGGAGAGGGCCGCCTCTCACTTGGGACCCCCTCTCTCAAGAGGCGGTTGGGAGAATGGGAAATGAGAGTCATTGCCAGATGCCCCAAAGCATTTCACTAGAGAAACAGACTTCTCAAAAAGGGTTTTCCAGGACTGGAGAGATGGCACAGCCATTAGTTCACTGACTGCCCTTCCTAGCACCCACGTGACATCTCACAGCTGTCCGTAACTCCAAGATCTGACACACACAGACATGCATGCGGGCAAAACACCAATGCAAATAAAGTATAAGAGGGGTTTCACCCCATGCCCTCAGGGTCCCCCCACACACATTCAATCTCAATATTGCATACCAGCTCTTGAGTAAGCCCCTTCTGTTCCATTTGGAAAGCCACTCAACTCCTCATAATGAGATCCAGCCAAGGCAGGACCAGCTCCCCATCAGACAGATCTCTGCTGTCCTCTCACTGGATAGAAAGGTGGATTCAGAGCCCATGAAGAAGAGACTGCAGAGAGCATTGCCCAGCTTCCGGGTGACTCAGTGCTGCCACCACACAATGCCCCAAGCTCTGTTGCTGCTCCCCTCCTGCAACAGGCTTCCAGGATTTTCCCAGCAAGCAGGAGTCTCCAAGAAAGGGCGGTGATGAAACAAGACTTGCTGGGCATGGTGGTGCACACCTTTTATGCTAGCACTTGGGAGACAGAGACAGGAGGTTCTGTGTAAATTCAAAGCCAGCCTTGTCTACAGAGCGAATTCCAGGAAGGAAAGAAAGAAACAGGATTTAGGGGATGCAGTGGGAAGTGTGACTTTATGACCGGGGAGACAGGGAACAGAACTGAACGCCAAGGGACGGGACACCTGCAGCCAGGGCCAGAGGTTCCAAGGTAAGGTCTCCCTCCAGCTTAGAAGGAGCAGACGAAAGGCAGGCGACTTTTGCACGAAGCTCTTTGCCAATGGCCCCCTGCAGCAGAGAACACAGTGATATAAACTGGCTGGGTTCTGCACTGAGTTCCATCCACCCCACCCTCGTCACATGCCTCTGTATCCCCTTCCATGGCTATCATCATCTTCAGAGAAGATTTGTGACAATAATTTGCTCTATCATAGCTGTTAGGTAGCAAGGGTGGCATGCGAATCACAGCCCTCTTGCTCTAGTATGCATTCAGCCTCTACACTAAAAGTGCCTCACACCTGCCACGCATGCTGTTCCCCACATCTGCAGCTGGCATGAAGCTAGCATCCTGTCTCCGCCATCACCAATTCCTATATCCACAGCTTCATTCACATCTGCTGGTCTTGCTGGTCACTTAAGTCATTCCAGTTTATCAAGGTATCGGAGGAGGCAAAGGGCTCCCAGCTAGTCCCTCTACAAGGTATCCCATCATTTGGCCTTGTCCTGAGAAGTCTACCCCTCGGCCCTCCCCACAGACCAAGTTCGAGTTCTCCATGTGGAGTGAGTAGTTTTGAAGAGGTGTGTCCTGACAGCTCAAAGAAGCAGCAGCTAAAATTCTACTTTATCAATCCATCCCCTTGTCTGGAGCCTGTTCTCTTACCTGAGCTGCACAGAGTCACACAGTGCCCTCCACCATTCCCAGGCTGCCCTGGGGCCCAGTATCCAAAATCCCAGCAGCTCCCATCAGTCCACCGAAACTTCTTCCAGAAGAGCTAGAGAAGAAAGTGGATCAGAGAACCAAAGGAGGCAGGAAGACCCAAACCACCGTTGCTTCTCTCACTGCCTGCCTGGAAAGAAGCCAAATGCTCCCACCACCCATCTCTCTGTGTCTGCATGCGATGTGATGGGAAATAGCCATTGCTCCCAGACACCATGCAGGGCAGATTTCCCCAACTGTATTGATCTTATTAACATGCAGGTTCAGATTCAGGAATTCAGGCATGGGGCCCATTATTCTGCATCTCTAGCAAGCTACCAGGTGATGCTGATGGTGGTGGCCCAAGGACCACTCTTCTAATACTAAGTATAATTCATTCCTCTGCAATCTTGGGATTACCACTATAGATGGAGATCCCTGTTTTATAACTAAAGAAAAACCAAGGACCTGAGAACGCTCCTCAGCTAGTAAACATCTGAGATGAGCCCTGAGTCAGTCTCCTGGAATCTGTTTCCTCAATGCAGTTTTATACAATCACATGCTTCAAAAACCCAGCTCTGAGGACTGGAGAGACGACTCAGTTAGTAAAGGGTTTGCCTGAGTTCAATCTCTAACATTACATTAAAAAGCCAGGCATGCTGTAATATCACTTGTAGTATCAGTGTTAGGTACCAAAGATAAAAGGATTCCTTTGGGTTTGTGGTCAGTCAGCCTAGCTGATCAGAGAGCACCAGGTTCCAGTGAGAAACTCTTAAAAATAAACTAGATAGTTCTTAAGGAATGACATCTGAGGTTGGCCTACGGTCTCCACATTCAGGTATACACAGAAAACACACACACGCACACACACCCTAGGGAATGGTGAGAGGGAAGAAGGAACCTTACTGTAACATGTTCTAAATCTGAAGTGCCCCCCAAGTGCCATGTGTTAAAGACTGTGTCTCCAACTCATGATAGAACTGCATGTTAGAACTCTTAGGAGATAAAGTTTACGTAGGGAAAGTTAGGTCACCTGGGGCATGCTCTTGAAGAGAATACTAGGACCCTGAGCCTTTTCATTTGTTTTTGCTTCCCTGTCACCAGAAGTGAATTGTCTTCTTCTGCCACACATTCCCACCATGACATACTGTGTGTCAAGTCCAAACCAACACCTTCAAATGAGTGTAGACCGAAGACGCCTTTGAAACTGTATGTCAAGATCAACCTTTCTTCCTTCAAAGTTGATTCTCTCAAGCATTTTATCACAGTGACAGCTGACTAACCGATAACAATTGCCAGTTTTCTTGGTGTAAACTTACCATGGTAATTTTGAGCTACACACCTGAAGTCATTGAATACGGAATTAATGA